TTGAGATTCATGTCCTTGATAGTTTGGCAAGAATAATAACTTACTGTTTCTATCTTGTTTTAGAAATGAGTGGATTATCTGACTTCTATTGTTGTATTTTGAAGGTTGCAAATTACCCACCTTTAAATATATAATCTTATTTTTTAATACTAATTGTTTTCTTAAAGAGAGTAGATTATCTCTCTTTATAAAATATTTCATTTGATATTAAAGATTGCAGATTATCCTCTTTTAATTTAATTTTTTGAATTTATTTGAGTTGTCTATAGAAAGAATGATTATGGATGTTACTCTTAGTAGAAGTGAAAATAGATTTATAATTATTACAGATCTTCATGAATTTTTTAATATTCTAAGAGTAAAAATTTCATGTATTTCTAATGTAAATCATAGAAGTACTATTTCTATGCTTATGGAAGAAGTTCATAGTTTATGTCAATAAGTTGTGCAGTTAAATGAAGCAAGTAGATTAACGTCACAACCAAATCTAAAGAATTTTGCTTTCATAAGTATAATGAGAACAAAGATTAATATGCTTAAAAAGTTTAATAGAATAAGATGAAAATTTTGAAGATTTTTACAATAAGTCAAGTTCTATTTGAAATTCCATCCCTTCCAATATCTTGATGGATTTATTCAAGTTGGATTCATAAGTGCAGTTCTATCAGGAAGTGCTCTTTTTTGGTTTGCACCTTTAATAGAAAAGAATTTGCAACTCCTTTATGATTTGAATTCATTTCTAGAAGTGTTTACAACATTATTTGGAGAAAGTGATCGAGAAACAGTAGCAAAGACCAAGTTCTTATCTTTACGTCAAAGATCATAGTCAGCTACCATATATGCTACTGAATTCTAAAACCTTGTTTGCAACATAGATTGGAATGATAAAGCCCTTATCAAACAATTTTGATTTGGAGTGAAGGATAATATCAAAGATTTATTATCAACGATGTTAAAGGCAAAATCTTTGGAATAATTTATTACTCAAGCCATTGCATGCCACAATTGATTATTTAAAAGACATCAAGAAAAAAGACTCGATTAAAAAAGAACAAGTCAAATAATGATAACAATTCTCAAATTTTTAAAAACTTATTTATCAAAGCTAGAACTAATGCAAATTGATACGATACATTTTAAATCTCTCACAAACCAAGAAAAGACTTAATATTATCAAGAAGGCTTATGTTTATATTATAGAGAAGCTAAACACATTGTTCAATATTATCCAAAGAAACAACACAACTACAAAATAAGAAGCATGGTTGCTAAAAAAGACATTATATTGAAAAACAAGTTTTTTCAAATATAATAGAGACCATGCAATTGAAATCTTGTGTAACTCCTAATAAAGGTCGTATTTTCTCTTCAAATCCTTTATCTTATTTTATAACAAAAATTTATTTAGGACCAAAAAATCATAAAATCTTATCTTTATTAGATTTAGGAGCCTCAACATGTTTTATAGACAAAGATTTTTTCAAAAAACAAGAAATATTGTTACTCAAAAAAATTGAATCCGTACATGTAGAAGTCATAGATGATTGTTTGTTATCTTCTAGAAATATTACGCATGAAATTATTTCTTTAGATCTAGCAATTAAAGATCATAATAGCATAATAATATTTAATATAATAAGATTTTTATCTAATTTGGTTATTTTAAGATTATATTGGTTAAAAAAATTATATTGATTAAATTGATTAAAATTCCATTAGTCAAATATTCTTTCTGTTCAATAGCTTTCTATTCTAAAATTTTTTTTTAGCAATTGAGATTAATTATGAGATCCATAATAAAGAACTTCTTGTAATTGTCGATTAATATTAAGAATAATATCATTATCTAGAAGGCGCTTAAAGTCCAATCACTATATATACTAATCACAAGAACCTTAAGTACTTCATGTCGACACATGTTTTGAATCGTTGCCAAGCTTGTTGGAGCATGTCTTTATCAAAATCACTTATTAGTCCAAAAAAAAATAAGATTTGTTAGACGTCTTTTCTACACATTCTTATCTTATACCAAAAGAAAGAAATGCATCTTTTGATCAAAAAAGAGTGATTTTCTTAAAGCCAGAGCATTTTTATCTTTGAATAATAAAATCAACATTGATTGTCGATTCAACCTTTATCAAGAAAATTTAATCAAATATATCCTCTGATCTTCTTATCCATGATATCAAAAATAATTCTTCTAAATCTTAAGATACTTCTAAATTTAAGTTCAAAAATAACTTATTTTATTTTAAAATATGATTATATATTCTAAAAGGCAAGGCATGATTACATGTTCTTTAAACTCATTATGACTTTCCAATAGATGGACATTTTGGATACAACAAGACTTTGGAGCTAACATTGAGAGATTTTTGGTGGCCTCAAATGTGAAAGCTAGTCAAAGACTTTATATAATCATGTGATATTTATTTAAGATCCAAAACTCCTAGCCATTGACTTTATAGACTTCTTCAGCCATTACCTATTCTAAAACAACCATGGTCTTTTATTTCTATGGATTTTATCATAGATTTTTCAATTTCAAATTCATGTGATTTTATATTTTGGATAATAGATTTTTTTACAAAGATGGCACATTTTGTACTATATACAAAATCTATCACAGGTGAAGAAAGGACTAATCTTTTTCATGACAATATTTATTTTTATTATAGATTGTCTAAGGATATTATATAAGATAAAGAGATTCAATTTATATCAAGATTTTGGAGAACCCTTTTTAAGATTTTAAAGGTAGATATAAAGCTCTCTTTGATTTTTAATTGTCAAACTAATGGGCAAACAGAAAGAGTAAATCAAATTTTGGAGCAATATTTGAGGTGTACTATCAATTATCATCAAAATGATTAGAAAACTCTTTTTTTATTAATAGAGTTTGCTTATAATAAATTAGTACACTCTTCTACTCAACAAATAACTTTCTTTGCTAATTATGATTATCATCCATAATTTAATACTTTTGAATTTTTAAAAGTTGATAATCTTGTAGTAGAAGATTTCATAAATCGATTGTTAGAGTTACTTGTAATAAAAAAAGAAAAATTAAAGGGAGCTTAAGAAGAAAAAAAGATCAATAGAGATGCCTATTGCAAGAAACAACCACAATTCAATGTAGATGACAAGGTATGGTTATTCCATTGTAATATCAAGACTAGTTGTTCTTGTAACAAGTTGGACTATTATAGGCTTAGATTTTTTTTTATTTGTGAACAAGTCAATTCTGTTACTTATCAATTATATCTATTAGAGTCTATAAAGATCTACTTCATATTTCACATGTCTCTTCTTAAGCCATGTAATCACAAAATATAAAATAATAGTCCAAAAATTAAAAATACAACAATACATACACAATTTAGTTAAGTTCATATTTACATCCTAATTTTCTTTTATTATAATCTAAATTATATTATTTACGCATCATAAATAAAGAAGTTAAAATTAGGTTGCTTTACAAGACTTAAAAGTTATATTATAAGAATTTAAAACAACCAAAGCCAATAAGACATAGTATGATTACTAATTCTATTTTTTTATGAATTTAATTGATCATCTAAAAGAGCTCCGCAAGATAACAAGCATTGTTAAAAGAGACAAGATCCTAATCATGTTTCAAAATGAGTTTTTATTAATTTTTGTGGTTGTCATTGGCTCAAATGCAACAAGAAATAGATCCTTCAATATTGAATTCATATACAATGTAGACATGTTTATTAGTCACTTCTATAAGATCTTACTATGAGCTAGAGTCTTTGGTGTATGTAGTTGGTATCTTTGAAACAAAGTTTGGTTATATAATAATTTTGGAGCTAATGGGCTTTGATGAAGATTGGTTGCAATGGATCTCTATAGAACCACAAAAACCAAAATGGGGGACAAGAACATAGAGGGGAGACATTATTTTATATTGAATATGGTAATATAAAAATATTAAAAAATATATCAATTGAAGATTGTATAAATTTTACTAAATTTGTAATAATTCATTTGTATCAAATATGTAATAAATTCAAACAAAATAATACATGATATATTTCAAAACTAATCTATAAAAATGTAGAATTTTCCAAGACAATCCTTGTAAGTTTCATAAAGATGATTAAAGGTGAATTCACAAAAAATTAATATAAAACAAACCTAAATTAAAATCTAATGATACATATAATTTTTTTATTTTTTTTAAGGATATTACTTGCAAATGCTACATTCAAAATACGTATTTTTGTGTATCTATGTACATATTTATAGGTTTATCCTAAATGCCTTATGAAATGATAACTTCAGAAATTGCATGTTATCATTTATCTTACAGTAAAATTGCCCTTGTGCTTTTATTGCTTCATGTGTAATTTAAGTTAAATAAATTCAGTGAAATAATTAATATAATTTTTAGTTTATTAATTTCAACAATCATTTCAATTTTTCTAAAACTTGATTAAAAAAAATATAAAAGTATGTTGAAATATATATATATATATATATATATATATATATGTGCATGTTTCTTTTTCCATATATATATACATATATACATGAATGAAAATTGTTAAAAATAGATATTCCAAGGATGTTAACATATCCAAAAATGATATTTATACATATATTAATTAAAAAAGTTATTCACATTTTTGAAAATCAACATTCTATATATCCTCACGATTCAATTGTTCATCAAGACAAACACCCAAAAAACAATACACTTCAATTTCATTCACACAAAAACCACATCTCAACCTTTCTTTTTTTCCTTTTTTTAAAAAATTTAAAGTTATTGTTGTCAATATTTCTTCAATCTTCAAATCGCAGCTGAGGTGGCAGCCACGATCGCCAGGTTGAAGACGAAACGTGGTGAATCATTTCATCCAGCTATCAATAGACTAAATTCATCCATCCAAGTATCATTCATCCAATTCGGCAAACCCTGCGAGGGGGGGTGGGGGGTTTTAAGGCGGAGCTCCGAAGGATCGACCAAGTCTCTGACATCGCTCGCATTCTCCAGATTCCTTTTCACTGTTCCTCAGGTTTTCCGAGGTGATCGCTTTGGATTTCATGTTAGTCTCTGTGTTACGAATGTGTGATTTTAAGAAACAGGATTTTTTTGTGTACTTTCGTTACATTTTGCAGGTGTTTTTTCTTCTTCTTTTGTGTGTTCCTCTTGTTGTTGTTGTTGGATTCATTGTCTGTTTGCGGCAAGTCCTTTGCTTCGATGCAGAACCTTCGATGTTTGTCGTAATGCAGTGCTCCTTGTTTTTTTTCAAGGCTTTACATTGTTTCATTCTGAGATTCTGTATTCTGTTGTGGCTTTTGTTATTCCTACAGCTATTTTAGAAGGTCTTGGTAAGATTGTGAACAGAAAATGGAACGCTTAGCCGGTGCGAAAGTAATGCTTGCAAGCGGTGCATCCTCACAATGTCAGCAGAAGAGTAGCTTGAATGGCGTAGCGCTGGATCGGGTGCGCTGTAGACTGTCGTCGTTCAGTCTTTCCCCTCGTCCTGTGAGCTGCCGGCATTTTCAGCAAAATTCATTCAGGTTACAGGTGCGAATTCCCCCTGCTTGATTTGTTGCCTTTCGGAAGACGTGGAAGGCATCCTTGTCTATCACGCCTCTGATTATTGCAGGTAGAAATTTGAGGGTAATGATTACGTTAAAAAGGTTTGTTCGTTCCAATGCAGGTGACATGTGAAGCCGTGAAGAAAGCAGCAGTGTTAACTCCCCCGCTGAAGCAGCTCACGTTATCTGAGCCAAAATTAGCGCATCAATTCGTAAAAGCGTTTGCGCCAGCCACTGTTGCCAACTTGGGACCGGGATTCGACTTTCTAGGCTGTGCTGTCGATGGATTGGGAGATTATGTAACAGCTGAGGTACTCATGTACGTTTGTTTTTCTGCTAGTATTCCTGCAATTTCAAGCGGATTTTCCGGCATTAGTTGCTTTGCGGAGGTAGCACATGTCTCTCTAGTGTTTTTGAGTTGGCTGTTTAGGTTGTGTGGTTACAACAGTAAAGCCTAATACATGCTTCCTGAAACGATCCCTTAGTTAAATTTGCATTGAAATTCAGGTCAGCAATGCAGTGCCGGCTGGGCAAATCCAAATTTCAACTATCACTGGCGATAACGGGAGATTGTCGTTAGTGGCTGGAAACAACTGTGCTGGGATTGCTGGGAAGGCTACATTAGAGCTGTTGGGGGTGCAGTCAGTAGGTATCATGCTGAATCTGCACAAGGGTTTGCCTCTTGGTAGCGGGCTCGGCTCGAGTGCAGCTAGTGCCGCGGCAGCGGCAGCTGCGGTAAGCTTCTGCTCTACCTCATAGTAGCTTGAAGTAGTACATAAAGGTATTCACAGCAAGTCATGTAATTTGTCTTTTTTGTCGAGATAGGTCGTGAAGGTTTTGTATTTGAACTGCAGGTAAATGGATTGTTCGGAAGTCCTCTAAGCAAGGCACAGCTTGTTCAAGCAGGATTGGAATCGGAGGCTACCGTTAGTGGTTATCATGCCGATAATGTTGCTCCTTCACTCATGGGAGGGTTTGTTCTAGTGCGAAGCTACGACCCCCTCCATCTCATACCACTTAGTTTTCCTGGAGGAAAGGATCTTTATTTCGTCCTTGTAATACCCGACTTCGAGGCACCCACTAAGGAAATGCGGGCTGTCTTGCCAACGGAGGTACATGTCTTCTGACATTCCTTGGAATGGACGTCATTACGTCCTGTAATGATTTCTTCTTTTTAGTTCTTTAACCAAAAGATGATGTTCTCTCTCGTATGCACGTCTGTTGGTTTATTATTTGGTGATACTATACGGCTTGTGTAGGAGAAGACAGTATTTAAAACCCCCCTCAAAAAAAGAACCCTCTAATTAGTATCAAGTTATAAATCCTAAACCCTGAACCCCTAAAACCTACCGCGTAGCATTTCATAGCAAACTTAAATTAAAAAGAAGAGTTTGAGGAGTGATAGAATCCATGTTGCTTTTATAGCTTGAATCTTTCTTCTTTACGATCAATGAATAATATTTTGCCACGGAGCCAAAGGGTACATGCACGTATCTGCTTAAGAATGCTATGGACTTCAGCACGATTTCATTTTTACTTATCTCAACTGGAATGTCTTTCATGTAGATATCTATGAAGAAGCACATTGCCAACTGTAGTCAAGCGTCTGCTTTGGTAACAGCCATTCTACAGGGCGACGCCTCTCTCCTTGGAGCTGCTCTTTGTAAGTGCCAGAATACTTTCTCTTTTGTATAATATTCTCGCCTATTTGTTGTTGGTTTTATCGCACGTTGTTTACGGTCTTATTCACGCACATCTGCAGTAATTCTTGTTTCTCATATTTCTATGGTTGTGCTCCTGCTTCTGCAGCGTCAGATACTATTGTAGAGCCTCAAAGGGCTCCTCTCATCCCAGGGATGAATGCAGTCATAGCAGCGTCTAAGCAGGCAGGTGCATATGGGTGCACAATTAGCGGTGCAGGGCCTACTGCAGTAGCCATAACAGATACGGAGGAAAAGGGGAAAGCAGTTGCTGCAGCCATGGTGAATGCCTTCAATGTTCATGGGAATCTCAAAGCAGAAGCTCACGTAAATAGGCTAGACAGGGAAGGCGCTCGACTCATTGAATCTCATTGATGGACTGCTTATGACAACACAATGAGTTCGCGAAGGTCCCTGTATCTTGACAACACTGTCCTTGCAGAGTGGTTTTGAGATGTGGTTATCTCTTGGGCTCAAGGAGCAGATTAGTGACTGCGGGATTGAGGCAGGGAACGTCTTGATATCTGTCTTTTGGCCTCCTTTCCTCATTTCTCGTGGTGAAGATGTCATTCAAGGTGAAAAGTAATGCGTCATGACCATATCTCCAAGTGTAGTGTGGGATCCTTAAACTTTGTGCTCAATTTCGATCAGCCCAGGGGTTGTCAAGAGTATTGATGTTTCAGTCGTGGGACGTGCACAGTCAGCACTCCTTCCTTTACCAAGGAAGGCTTTTGATAAGCTGTGAATAGAGCATTGCTTTGCAATTACCACCTTGTTCCTAAGCTGTTTCGGGCTTATATTAAGAAAGTTTTGTCTCGACAAATCTTCACAAGTTCAATCGAAACTCTCTTTATACGCCACCTGCAGGCAGTTCCTTCAGCACTAAAGAGATAGGGACATCTAATATAGACACAGAAAACTTGTGGCACATAACTCACGTGTCATGGGTTTGTGATACAAAATTGCAACACACAAGCATGTACTAAGTAAATACAAACTACAAAAAATAGGTCACTATAGGCCACTATTTGATGTTTGTGTTATATAGGCCACTATTTGATGTTTGTGTTATATAGGCTATTATTTGATGTTTGTATTGTGTAGGCTATTATTTGATGTTTGTGTTGTATAGGCTATTATTTGATGTTTGTATTGTAAATACAATGCAAGGGCAAAAATTATTCTTAGTTTCTTTGTCATATTAGTAACTTTAAAAAATATTAAGGTACCAATTTAGGACATACATATTTTGTAGATTAATGTATTTAGGTAATCAATTTTTTTGACATAGTACTTATATTTAAAATAAAATAAAGTAAAATTTTAAATAATAAAACTTATAATAAATTTTATATCTTCATCAATATGTCCTAATATTATAACATTAGCCTTGAATACTAAAAAAAACAAGATATATTCTTATCTACAACATATTTCTTTGCTAAAAAAAATAGCCAAATTCAAAAATTAGAATAAAATATAAAAAACAAGAAAAATAAATATGTCTAATTGCTAATCAATTACTAAGATATTGTCATGTCTATATCAATTTTTTTTTTATCTTATTAGAATAATAATAAGAATTTAGATATATATATATATATATATATATATATATATGATTTCTATATCTATAGAAAAATATAAAAAGTTTAGAAGTTTAGAAGTTTTAGTAGAATAGAGTCCAAATATAAATAACATTGTACACAATTTAAAAACACTATGTACAAGTTTTTGGAAATCTTTGTCTAAATTATCATTTAGTAGAAATAAAATAAGAAAAATTAAAAATATTAGCCATTAAATATAAAATTTTATCTAATAGAAAATTAAAAATAATAAGGTCTTCTTTTAAGATATCTTTGGTTGATATAAGACTATATATATATATATATAGTTGTAGTCCTATATGCAAAGCATTATTTTTAACTAACATCAAAAGAATTCACATAATATGCATAAAAAATTAATTCTAACACCAATTTCATATTCTATGTTAAGGAAGTGTTAAATTATAATAGTAGAAGTAAGATGATTTATAAAACTTATTGAAAAATTGAAGCTTCTAATAAAAAAATAAAAAATAAATAGAAAATATATGCACTTAAATATAAGACTTTAAAAGTTGAATTAGAAGATTTAAGATGTTTAAATTTTTTTTAATAATTTTTTAAAAATATTACTAAATTACTACCAAATATAATTATAAATAAGTATACAATAGAATAGAAGAGGTAATAGGAAAGAAAAGAATAGCTTTATAATGGGTGATTTTTTAGATTAGACATTGAGAGTCTCTTCAAAGAGACAAACATACTACTTTGGCTTCATTACATAGTGTTTGATTGCTCAATTGTAACTATATTAAATTGTTAAATACATATATTATTATAATAGTACAAGAAGATATTTTATTTATTTATTTATTTATTATAGTTAGTGATTATATCAATTACATAAGTTGGATTTAAGTTTTTTTAATAAGAAATTTGTAATCAAATTAAGAACCAACTAAGGTTGGAATAATTATTAGAACACTTGCATATAAAAATACCAAGGTTTAACAAAGAAAACATTGAATTGAGAATTAATAATAAAATATAATCACTTTTGATTTACAAAAGGTATTAGAAATAAAGATGTTTCTACTCAACGAAAAACATTCGATGAAAGTTTCTTTTGAGAAGCTTCTCCAACTTTTTGATTCAAACAAAAACTTAAGAAATTAATATAAATTAGGAAGTTTTCTAGAGAGGAGTAAAATTGAGGTCTTAGAATATAATCATTGTTTAATTTATAGCCATCAAGCTTAATAATATTATTCTTTTGATGAAGTGGGAGCAATTAGTACAAGTGATAGAAGAATCTCGAATACTTAGTAAATATATGAAATAGAGATAGTATATTTGAAAATTAATTCTAAAAAAATTTGGAAGATTTTATTATAATATTTTTATAGACTAAGAGTTATATAAGGCATTTTTTTAAGATAAAATATTAATTTGATGTTGGAACAATATAGAGCCCAATGTAGAGACAATACAAACTTATTTAAAATACTAATATGGATTACACTTAAACATATTTTGAAATGATTTATTAAATTTTCTTAATAAATAGCAATTAAAATAGGAGAAATTTTAGAAAATAGCTAAGATAAAAATATTAGCAATAAATTAAGTTTTTGTGTTGCACTCAAGTATAGAGAAGGTTGTAAGTTAAAAATTGAAGTAAGAAATTCTATGAATAATTGAAATAAAATTATTCTCACATATTATGATAATATTTGAATTGATTTTTTTTTTTTTAAAAAAAAAAACCATTAAATAAAAAAATATCTAATATTTCTAAAAACTAAGACTCCTAATAGACAAATATGTAAAGTTTGAGGAATCATTCAAAGAGCAATATTAATAAAACCAAGGTTAAAATACCAACAAAATATATCAAGGATATAGAAGCATAATTAAAAGTATTATAGGAAATCAAGATATGGTATTTTTGTTTTCTTATTAAGATGGTTTTATAGTAGTTACAAATAAGAAAAAGAATGACAAGAAAGAACTAAACAAGAAAATGGCCAATATTTAAGGATATATGATTGTATTCTATTGACAAAGAAGAGAAGATTAATTATAATAAATTATCAATAAAAACTTAAGTGCTAGTTTTTTGAGTGGCTTAATAACATTTTTGTGTAGGAAGTTATCAACATAATAACAATCATATATGCCAACCTTGACACATCAATGTTTTTTAAACCTTTTCATTGAATTAAACATGGCTTCTAAAAACATACTTGATTTTCAAGTGGTTCATAGTACTAGAGAGTTATATCCTCTTGAATTTTGTAGTTAAAAAAAAAGATTGAAACAAAAAGTATTACACTCTTTTGTAAAAAGACTAGAACTTTAAGAAGGTAATTCCTAAGCAACTCAAGCCAAGGTTGTCCTTAACCACTTTTTTTATGAATTTAAAAATCTTGTCTAATTGTTTTGGAGATTAGATAATCCTTCTAAAGTTTTTAAGTTACAAAGTTATATTCAAAGTATCTATACAAGATGTGATTTTTATATATATATATATATTTAAGAATACAAATTACATGGTTTGTAAATGCAAGAGTTAAGATATTTGTTATGATCAAATATTCACTTCTTTATTCTAAAAGCTGATTTTAATCATGTAAATATTTTTAATAATACAGAAGTTGGTGGTATTTGTATAATGGTTTCTTTCTCTATTAAAAATTTAGTAGTTAAATATAAATTATTTTTAAGTATTTATTAATAAAATCATTAGGTCTAATTTATTATATAATATGGAATTAAAGACCAAACTACATCAAAGTATAGTAGAAGAAACCTATTTGACTTAACATTCTTGTCACATCACATCTTAAGAGTATGATTTGTAAAGAAAGCTTATATAAGGATATTCTTGTATAAACATGTAGTTGTGTATTATGATATTTTTTTTTTTTATAATAATATTTTAAAATTACCATCTTTATATTAATATAATACTAATAGAAGGTTATTTATAAAGAATTAAGATATAAAAGTAAGTAAGTAATTTTAATTATTAATTTTTAGATTAGAAATTGATTAAAATCTTATTATTATAAATAGAAATATTATAATTATAGATATAATATGATTATTTATTAATATTATTAATATATATTAATAATATCAAAAAATGAATTATATTTAATATAATTATATAATATAAATTTAATTTTTATTAAAAAAAGTTTTTAAAAATAATATACAAAAGATAAATGTACATAAAAAAATTATATACATAATAATAACAAGTTAGAATTACATGAATGTAATATAATATATCTAAGTAAAATTTAATTATTGACTAATTATTAATTATAATATTTAAATCTAGACTATAATCATATATAATCTTATATTAAAATTATAAATTATCTTAATATAATCTAAAAATTCCTATATATATATATATATATATATATATATATATATATATACACACACACTTACACATGTATATATAAATATTATTTATAAGAAAAAACCTCAACATTTTAAATACTTAAAATTAATATGTTTATGATTTTTTACAAGAATAACTATTACACATATTTACTATATAAAATAAAAAATTTCTTTAAAATATAATGCACCATTCTTTTGCATAGAAAAATTTCTAAATTATTTTTTATTCTTAAAATCTAAAAATTACATATATTCATAAATGAATTATATTACATTATATCGATAGATATTAATGTTTTATTTATTCTTTATTAAATATTTTAAATTATATATATATAGATATATATATAATTATGTAATTCATTTGTATAAGTTATATTAATTACTTACATATCTTAGTCCAAATCAATTGTGTTGCCTTACATTTATTACTATGCAAACCATGTATTGCAACAATAGGTTTATTAAATGATTTAAATATTTTAAATAGTTACTGAAAATTAAATCTTCTAATTAATTCTAAATAAAAAATAAAAGATGTAGCACAAGATTATATTAGCACCAATTTTACTTTAAGATCTTAATATTTTTTGTACTTTGCAATCAAACAATTTCTATAGATTTAATGAGTATTTTCACATGTATTAAGTTAAAAAAATTATTAGTTATATTTAAAATAAGACTTAAATAAATTTTAGAAATTAAAAAAATAATTTTTTTTGTGCTTGAAAGTAATAGAAATATGTATTAAGTTTTATCACATTTTTGGTATACATGTTTTGGACCTACTTTACTTACAAATTCAATATCATGCTTCATTGGAAAATTTAGGATGTTTTGTTTTATTAATTTTTATACTTAGATACATAACCTCTTTGTTTAATTTTAAAGTATCTAACAATGTCGTTTAGTTGTTCACAATTAAGATGATGAAGTAAAACATAAAAATACATTTTGTTGTTGATAATATAATTAATCAAGAAAAAAAGAAAAAATTAAAAATTAGAGGTAAAAAAATAAAAAAATGTGAAGAAATTAATATGATTTTTTCAATAAATACTCCTACTACATGGTAGAAATTGTATCACAAATTCTTTTATAATTTTAAGTAAATTTTATTTGTAAGTGAAATTATTTCAACTACATCAAATAATAAATTTTTATTTGAAAAGATTTATATTTACATATTACACATCCATAAAAAAAAACCAAATCAAAAAAAAAAAATTCTAATAATGTCTTTACATTCTAACTTCTTTCAATAAGGGGATTTAGACTTAATGTTTTTGGACAACCAAATTTCATGTGTTTTTGGTTTTTGAGAACCTGAATACCATGGATCATTCAAAATATCACCTCTCTAAATATCACTATTTAGATTTTGAATATTCCCTTCAAGTTTCTGAAGTATTTTTTAATATTTTGGTGATGTACCAAGTGATATCAAGTCAACTTAACATGTTGCCTTAACATTCAAGAACAGACCTTTTTAATCTTTTGAACTATTCATTATGCCTCAAAAGAAGGACTCGAACCTTGCAAGCAATGGCAAAGGAAGTCATTTTAGTATAAATGAATAAACTATGATTGTCAATTGACTGAAAGATCCAAAAAAAAATTCAAAGAATTGCATAGTTCCAACAAGAAAGAGGTATATGAAAAGAAAATGAGCAAGAATGGAGCTTTGGTGCACCTAGGTGCCGAAATAAATAAAGCATAAAAAGACAAGTTCAATTTTTGTGCAAAAAATATGTTAAGTTGATTACATACTTTCAAAGCTAAATTTGTGGCTGCATATGAATGATAATGAATATGGGCATTAGCATCAATAATAAGGATAAAAAGTGAGGTATATATATAGTAGCTACAAATTTGGAGGATAGTTGTTTATTCTTTAATAAGATACATACTTTGTATGGTGTGAGGCCAAACGTGGTACCACTTTGCAAGAAGGATTCTAGCATAGTAATAAATATAATATTGTCACGAGACTCTATGATAGTATTGGTGATGATTTTATCAAGTGAATTGTCTAATTTAAAATTGTTGTTTGAAGATTCACTACTTGAAGATACTTAGGAGGCTTTACCGCAAGACGAATTTGATGAATCAAAGGAAGTGTGCAAGGAAGAGCATAGTATTTTGCTCTTCTCTATTTCTTCCATGTCCCTATCTATTTCACTAGTATCACATTCTGTATAACATGCATTGCTTGGCAATACCACCATTGTCACCTCAAAAAAGAGGAGTTATCAACTGCAAGTTTCAAAGTTTGAAGGAAAATCTTTGAAAGGATACTAAATCATTTCCAACTTATTAATAGAGTCATTACAAAAAAAAAAAAAAAAAAAAAAAAAAAAAAAAGAAAAAAGAAAAAAGAAAAACGACCAAAATAATAAAATATTTGGCTCTATTAAAATAAATAAAAAGTAAAAAAATCAAATTTAGGTTACAAAAAAAAATTAAAATGAAAGAAAGGCTAAAAAGAGATTAGATGGAATTTAAACAAGAATTTTTTTTTGTAGAGTAGGAAGAAAGGGAGGCAATTTGAAAATGCAATAGAGATGACAAGCTCTTTGATCTTGTCTATTTTGTTCAAAAATATCTTATTTTATTTATAATAAATTATTTTAAAAAATAGCTAGGCCTAAAATAGAGCCAATATTAAAAAACTAAATATACTTAAAGCCTTTCATGCATACAATCCAAAACTAGGCAAAAAAAAAAAAAAAAAAAAAAAAAAAAAAAAAAAACAATTCCTATGACAAGGCTAAATTGTCTCGCTCGGCTCTAGAAATAACTTTGCTTTCGTTAGAGTTTTGAAAAGTTAAAATTATACTTTAATATAGCTAGAAACTTGAGAAATGTAATCCTCCCAATTAAGATATATCTTTAGAGACCATCTTTTTAAATTACATAAAACTTTATCAATGTAGCAAACAATGAAGTTGCTAAAAAATAATTGCTACTATTTGAATTCTCTTGCAACATGGAATTGGAGCTACTTGGACTCTACTAAAATATGGATGCATCAATCAATAGCAAATGATCTTAATTGGATGAAGAACTCACTTTGATCAAAGACAAAGAAATATTGTATCATAATAGAGGTACTTCAATTGAGCCCTTGTAGTTGCATGTACACTTTGTTACATTGTTTCTTGTATCATGACACCTCATGGAATTGACAAGACAAGAGATGTCTCTTGGTTCATGTCGTTATATGGAATCTACAAATTGAAAAAAAGTACTAAAGAACATTGCATCATAAATCCAATGAAGGATGATAGATAAAAGCCATATGATGAGAAGAATCAACTCCACTTGCATCAAAGGATACGAATCAATTTCCTTATTACCATCAAAACTAAATTACAAAAATAAAAGACAAAGTAAATTTTTACTACTAATAGCTCTTTTACAATTTTTCAAAGGCTTTCTATAATATCCAAGTTTGTCAATCAATAGTGAACTTGGACATAATCTATAGCACTTATTAATACAAAAAGATGTAGAATCAAGGTAAAGAAAAAGTGGGAGATTTGATATAATCTCCCAAATACCTCATGGCTATATATGAGCAGCTAAGCTCTAATCTTCCATTCCTTTGTTTTTTAATGTACTTTATTTTTTATGGTTTTGGAGGCCTTAGGATTATACAATTCATTGCATAATAATACTGAGATAAACAATATTGTAGCATGAATTGAAACGATTTTTTATTTATTTATTTCAATTGTGCAATATACAAAGAATATCATGTGTTCAAAATCTTGATGGTTGAAGATCATAAATCCTAAACCGCCTTAGAATAAACTAGTGTAAATCATGCATTGGTAAAACACCTAATGCATAATTATATGCCATTATTTTATTCTAATTTTTTTGTCTAAAAAGAATCAATACTCCCAACATGGCACCAAAATTCTCTAATGGCTCTCAACTAATCTTTGTGAATTCAATTGTCTATACATTATCCAAACTAGTAAATATATTATGCAAAATTAAACATGCAAAAATCTAATTGACAATAAACTTCATATCCATGTCACAAATGAATTTGGTATAGATTTCTTTGAGCAAAGCCTACTAGCCTTTCAAAATTCTAATATAATATTTGTTTGCAATCCAAGCTTTTGCCAAATAATAATTAAATTCTTGATTTATCAATTATTTGGTACTTGGAGACTAATAGCCAAGAATTACTATCTAACTCACAACTTACTTCAAGTTTGCTAATAGGTACTGTCTATTATCGAAGTACTTTTTGAAATTTTTGAATATTTCCATGATTTTAAATATTGTTGCATGTGCACATGATCCAAGTTAGCTCATGATTAGCTCGATGATATAGCAGTCAAGGTCACACACAACCTAGGCATTCATAAAATATTTCTTCTTTCTGTCAAAGAATGTGTCGCCATCATTTTTTAAGCACTAGCTTAGGGAGAACTATATCCCATTGATAAGTCCAATGCAATCGTCAAATCCTAAATGACTAAATGTTTTGTTAATTTGAAGCCTTTGGTCAATATCTAGCCATCACATATACTATTGTTTGAGTAAAAAAATTGCTTAAATTACTTGATTTGTAAATGTACACATTGTGCCATTGTTAATACCTCAAGCCCTCCTCAATCTCCCAATATTGGCTTCATTCTTGTATAATCCAAGGCACTTCAATACTATAGCCAATTGCTAAGTGATTTTGCTTCATAAGCAACAACTCTTGTTCTTGAAAATGGAATGGTCTTTGATGGATGAAAGCACCATCGGAAAGCCCTCCATTGACTTTCATAAGGTTTGTTGAGATTGAGATCAAGCTCATGTATAAAATAATTTATAACTGAATTGATTGATTTGGTTAGGATGTTTTGAGTGAACATGCATTGAGTGTTGTTGATTGCACCATGAACCACTATAAGTTCTTGTACATCATTGAATTGGAAGAAGTCATCCTCAAACATGTTTTCAACCTCCTTACATTGTTCTTCAAGCATTTCATTGAATTTTTCATCAACTAAGAACGTAGACAACATTTCCAAGTCATAAATAGTCTTGTGTTTTTTGAAGCGTTGAGGCATCCTGAGATTGCAATGTAGTATGCAGTTCAAAAGTTTTAGGGTTTGTTGTTTTCGAAGTGCAAACAAAGGCCTAGTAAGTCAGCAATGTGGTATGGAGTCAAAGAGGGAAAACAGCTAACATGAACCACACACTATATGATATTTCATATATTTCTCTTGTGATATTTCAATTCAAAGTCACCTATCTTACCAGGTGGGTGATTTTGAAGTATCAATTGATATTTCGAAATATCACCTGATACTTTGAGATATCATCATATGTGAAGTATCACCCAAAAACCTTAAGTCTGAATCCCCTTAATGAAGCAACTTCAACAAACACTTTGATTATATTTTTAAAGAAAAATATACTCTGCTTATGATATTGTGATATTAGTAGAATTGTTGAGATGCTATATTCCCAACTGCAAAGATATGCCAAAAGTTTTTAAAGAACAAATCATCAGTGGATATTCTTTGAAAATGTCAACATAAACTCTTGTACACTTGTGAACACATCTCAATTTGTTTTGTTGAAGGAATAAATTGCAAAACATATATCCAAAACCTCCAAAAATAGCACAACATTGGAAAACCTTTTCTTTTTGATATTTTTAAAAGAATCCTATAGTTAGTGTAACAGCGCGGCAGTAAGGGGTCCCCGGCAGAATACTCTAAATCCTTTGAAACTATGCAATACTAGTTCTGAGAAAGAGTCATCGTTAGCTTGATATTCATAGCCGCCAGCTCAGCAGCCAGATACCTGAACACGAAAGGCATGGCTACAGTCTCAATTCCTTTACTTGTGTTGCATACTCGGCAAATCTTCTTCCCACCTTGCTGAATTCCAAGACCTAGAGATCCAAGAGAGCCTCTTGTAGTTGGCAGGGGCACTGTTGCCAGAAGACTTCCACAAAAGCCACAAACATTGGCAGTGTGATAATCCGAGCATGCATGCAAACGGTCATGAAGCAAATACGCTGCTCCATGCGCCAGTAGTGAGTCACGCTCCATTTCTCCGAATCGAATACCTCCTCCAACCTTGCGTCCCTTTACAGGTTGCCTCGTGACAGGGTTCACGGGACCCATCGATCGTACCTAATATACCAGGACAAGGTTAGTCATTGTTCAATATGGTGGTACAATTAAAAACTCTGCAGAAAATATCATTAGTACCTGATACTTGTCAGAAACCATGTGCCGTAGCCGTTGGTAGTAGACCACGCCTAAGTAGATTTCGCAAACAAATTCGGTGCCTAAAACACCACTGTACATGACTTCAGTCCCATGGTAATTAAATCCATGAGCATTCATTTGCTGTCCAAGCAAGTCCGCAGTTCCGTCGTTCCCTCCTGTCTTGGCAAAGTCTTTACCGTCGCCTCCTTCTTTACTGCTTTTCTTAAATGGAGTTGCGTTCATGAACTTACCATCAAGAGCACCAGCCTGCAGGTTGGTGAAATAATCACTTATTAGCGACACGACTCTTCCGGCACCTCATGTTAAGAGACGTTTGCAACAAACAACTAAGGGTTGAGATCTAAGAAAAACGATTGTACTAGTATAAGTCGGCGACAATATTGAATCAAATATATGAATTCTGAAGCTAGGTTTATCTTAGACTATTTATAGCGTCTATCAACACAAGAGACTGTAAACAGTCATGAGGAAATAAAAATTTAAACCACAAACATTCACTAACTGTAACAAGGAATCATCCACAATCCATTGCAGGAACATGACTGTTCTTAACAATTAGTCAAGGTTTTCCAAATGGTTAGAAGTCGGACGGAACCAGAAATAGCCAACTGATCATAGCCCTCGGAGCTTACCTTCGCGGCCATTGACTCTAGAAGCATTCCGATTGTCATACGTGAAGGGAAAGCATGGGGGTTAATTATAATGTCTGGGCGCATTCCTGTAACAGCAGAGAAAGGCATGTCCACATCTGGCCAAAGTTGTGAACACACTCCCTTCTGTCCATGCCTGCTACTGAACTTGTCTCCAATCTGTGGATATCGTGGATGACGCGTGCGAATTGTCACCTGCAGATGTGATGCTCACGTAATTCAGGCATAATGATCCTTACAATAATAACTCATTCATATGCTTAGCTCTCAAATCTGTTTGAAGCAACTAGAACTATCCTATTGACGTAAATAACATTTGATATAAATAGTTCACTTACCTTCTGAAGAGGATCTTTACTACCAGTATTGATAGCAGCCACATAATCTACAATAGCAGCTTCCGAACCTTTCAATTTTGAAATCTTTGACTGCCCTGTCATCTTGTTTACAACGCTGCAGTAGGGATCTCCCTCGGTCAAGGTCTACACATCACATTCATGTATGAGATGAAATATTACAACTACGTCCATAGATACCAGATATTATATGATACGAATGAGCCATTTGAGACAAAACTGTTCGAGTACAGCAAACGAGTGATGAATACCTGTCCTACATAGGGAAGACCATCGATATCTATAAAGTTTGCTGATTTGTCGGCCTGCTCTTTGAACCTAGCCATTGCACCTGACCTTGCAAAGACGTTGGTAACACCATCTCCTCTCTGTCGAAGTTCCGTTAAATCGATTGTCTCCGACTGCATCCAAGCCCAACAGAAAAGTTAACTCCCATTAAATCATTGGAAAATGCAAGATAATATACAGAAATCGCATTGAAATTCACTTACCTTGTAGACTTGACCATAGTGTAAGCCACGCTCCACTGATGATTTGTTCAATATCATAGCATCCTCCATATCGAATCTGAGAAACCATTCCAGATTTGACAATATTGTCAACAAAGACATAATAGAAAAATAGAAAAACAATCAACTGCAACATTTTATGGACATCAAGACACTGAAGCTAGCAGCCTCTTGAAGATGTTTACTTACCCTGTGTACGCCAGCACAGCAACAATGGCATTTGTACCAGTAGGAAATTGATTCATATGATATTTGTTCCATGCATTTGTCTGTGCAATTGGCATTTGTGGTGTCTGCAAGATAAGATTAGATCTCAGACTCTTCTACAAGCCCAAACCAAGGATTAATACTAATTTACAATACAGCTCTTAGAAGGGCTAGAGACAAGGAGAAGATTTAGCATCGTGTACAGTTACCAAATGTTTAGTCGCAAGTGGATGTAATACACAACGTATAAATATCCAACGCCATCCAACATTCCCAACATCTCTGGTGTAACAATTACCTGAATACGGTACATCTTATTATCTGCACGACATTGCAGTGCTTGAGCAGGGAACCCCATTGTTTGTTTTCCCATCTATAAAACACATTCACACATCCTTTATCAGCAAAAACAATTATGTGCATTATGTGAAGCACTAAAAAAAGAAAAAAAAGAAAAAAAAGTACTGTACACTAGATCAACCAATCAAGCCCGGGAAAGATTATAAACATGACTAGACAGGAAAATGCATTGCGGGGTTGGGTTGAGGCAAGACCTGACACTGGTACATGTTGCGGGGGCTTTGATTGTGGTCTGACCATGGCGTGAGACTCGCAACAACACTTAAGAAGGCTGTGGCATTTATCTCTTCATGTGTTGGTTTGGGACCAATGGGTTCATTTCCACCAGGACACTTGATTTCCATATAAGCCTGTACAAACCCCACGACCTCGTCCATAACCCATTTTCGTATTTTTGCAGTTATAAAACAACATACAAAAGCTCCACCATCATATGAGCAATATTTGGAATAACGATAAACATAAAACACCAATGGGAAATGCGAAAATGTTATGAAAATAAAAATAAAATAAAACAAGAAACTGGTTGACCTGCTCAAGAGGCCCTATCAGCTCCAAGCTCCCATCGCCGAACATTTGCTTCACAGTCCTTGTAAAACGAGATGGTGTAGTGGCAAGATACAAACCAGGATATGATCCTGCTGATGTGCAGGGAATATAGGCTATTTCCATGTCAGCTGGAACCTGCATTTTAGTCCAGATTGAAACATTAAATATCCATTTAATCAGCTCAATCAAAAGATGTGCGATACGCTATCATAATCCATGTCTTACCTCAGAACCATCCACAACTTTGAGTCGTCGAAGATGTTCAATGATAGAAGGGATAGCTCCGGTTGCTAAATGACCAATCACACAACCATCCAAAAGAACTGTTAAATATTCTGGTGGTGCCATGTTCGACAACTTTGGGAGCACTGGAACCAGCCCCAAATTAACCATTACTTTAGTCACTGACTTCCGAATCGCCAAGGGGTCTTTCTTATTTCCACGCGCATCCAGATCTGACGAAATTTCTGCAAGACATAGCAATGATCTATGTGAACCACAAGGAGGCAGATATGAAACAAAAAACCAAAATCTGCTGGATATGCAATATTTGTTTGATTAGATTTGGTGTCTAGACTAGCTCCCGTCCTACCATTCAAAATCTACCTAATAAAAACTGCGAGAACAGTATTATAACAAGACTACGAATACTTACGGCAAGCAGCAGTAAGATGGTTGAGTAGACCACATGGTGAGCCATCAGGAGTGTGGACAGGACACATAAATCCCCACGACCTGAACCACAACAGTGCCAACCACACACAACCTCAGCAAGTATGGAGTGTAGAAATTTAAAAAAGACGCGCATTCCCTCCTGAACTTTTTCTATGAAACCCGATCTTTACGAACCGACGAACCAGGCACCAGAAAGATGGATCAAGTCTTCCATCGTAGATAATCAAAAGTTTTTCGAAAGATTGAATGGTGAATAACTCGGATCACTTACTCAGGTAATAATTTACGAACAGTAGTAGTACGAAGTGTCGCAAAGAAGGCGCCTCTATGAACTGAACGAAAATGAGAAAGGTACCGAAGAAAATTTAGCTTCTCTGCAACAAGGGTAAAACCCCCGACCTACAAGCATAGCAGCAACCCATCAAAAGACCGGTGTAGGCATTGAGCCCTGCATTTTTCTGGTGGAAATTTTAAATTGACAATGGATCTTCGCATTGCTTTAGGCTTATCATAAGTAGTGACAAAACCAATATGACTGACAATACATACCTGATTGAGATCCAACCCAGACTGACTGACAAGGTTGCCAGTGTTCAGCAAGTACTCCACCTTCTTACTTACGTCAGAAGCTGGTACTTTTTCAAATACCTTTTGCACATGTTTAACTGTAACGTCAATGGGTTCTAATAGTCAATATATTGGAGCATTAATATGAAAAGCATTATCAATCATGCGCCAAAAACATGAAAGTGAAACAAGTTCGGGGCATACGTTGTAAATCATTCTCAGCAGGCTTCTCCTTCATCTCCTTGAGAAGTTGTCCCTGGACTCTCAACAACCAATCTTGGATTCTATCCTGCAGTAAATCATAGCTGAAAATCAGTTTTATTGAAAAATATACTCGTAAATATACATTGGAGCACCAAAGAAAGAATCCCCACAGAGGATAGGCATTATATATTGATTTCCTACTATGATAACCAGCTCAGAGTTCTCCAATTCAAGTCTTCACCAAACAAGAAACTGAAAAATCCACGCATTGAATATAAAATAGACCTTGACAACTATGGTCAAGAGATGCCCAGGCAGTAAAATTTCGTGGTTTTGCAATGCGTCAGCATTATCTGGAGCCGCCATCCCATCTACCAAAGCGAATAGCTTTTGTAGCATGAACCTGCATAAACGTAACACTATATGAATCGAAGGGTAGAAGAAGGGGCTCACATTAACATGTAAAAGAATCAGCCTGCGTTGTTTAACAGCCTGCGTTGTGTAACGTCATGCAAGAGGGACATAACTAAGGAAAAAGCCAAGCTTAACTTAAACAAGGAACAGTATGCATAAATACACGCCATTACATTCCAGAAACCCAATTGCATAAGGTAGAGAAAGTACACAAGCAGGTTGAATTTATCAAGAGGATTGTCCAGGTGTACAAGTATATAATCGTTAAGAACCTGTTCTCCCACCTGTGTAACCCACAAAGGTAAACAAAGTGAAAACTACGAACCTATACATGAGAATGACCAACTGGTTTTAGACGCACCTTACCTTCATGATAACGAAGAAGAGATTCAGGTTACGAAGGTAAGTAAATCAAACGGAATCATAATTGCAAATGTTCCCTACAAGAACAGACACTTATTCTGTTCTGCAAGCTGTGACGTGAAAAAGCTTAACATCGAAGGCACGTGAACAGAAGTGGAAACACATGAAACCAAACGAAACCGAATCAAAACTGATTACCACAGCTGCGTGCTGTTGTTTGTCTTCTAGGCCCATTACTGGCCGAAACCGATTCCCTGCATAAATGCAACTTCACATAGGATAAATGAGTAAATATATAAGACTTACATTATAGTCAGCCCAACTTTGGGTGGCACACAATGCTTTAGAAAGAAAAGCCAAAGTAATTGAAAAAAACACTCTTAACTAAAAGAAAATAGCAGGTTAACCCACCAAGGAACTGAAGGCAGTCATGACGTGTAAAAAGCGAAAGTTGTCTAACTTCTTCTAATATAATTTTTGCTCTTTGACTAACAAATTGTGAACCAAGTGCACCCTTCATAGCTTTTGAATCACTCTGAATTGACATCAGCTGCTCATAAATCTCATATTCATTCGATTCGATTAAAGCCTGCACCGAAAAAAATTGTAGCAATGATGTGATTCTCCAATCAAGGAATTTTTCGCATCAAATGTTTGAATTCATAGAGCATTTATTAGAGGTAAAAAGCTCAAACCTTCAAGATGATTCCCACAGGTATAAGAAACTCCTGGCGCCGAACGCTGTCTTTGTCAAAACGGAAACGTTATCATGAGCTCTATTTTCTCTCATAGTAAATTATGAACAGCGATGCACAAACTTCAGCGATAAATGATTTAGCATTAACTACAAAAAACCATCAAACACCTGACCCCTAACCCCATATTCTACCGATACAACTACATAGTATGTACAGCATACTACAAAATATGCATTTTTACTTAAAAAACGAGGGATACTTACGAAAAACCAAGTGATGCACTCCCATAGTTCATGTAGTACATCCTCATTGTGACCGCAGACTGATCCGGTCTTACACACCTACTCACCACACACAATCACTCACAACTTAGAAAAATTCCTAACACATGCATCATGATTTAATCACATAAATCAAGTGTAAACACCAGATTCTTTTAATTGTAAAGAGCAATATTATTCAAAAACCGGGCAAGCCAACCTAAACGTGTTAGCTTTCAGTCAACAAAATAATTTTTATGTCTAAACCTTCTCACTGAATTAACTAATAAGCCCTTTCTGAAATTCATAAGAAAAACAGGTGTTCGATAATCTTCAGCGTACCTGATCATAACTCCCTTATCAGAATAGGAGGGGCCACGGTTCTTGTATGAGGTTCGTTTGACTCCTACAACCTGTAAAAGCCAAGTATTTATTGCAGTAATGAAAGAAGCAAAAATCCTCAAACACAGTCACAAACAAATCCAATAAACACAAGATTAGCAAAGTTTAACTTTGTTATATATTCTGATATAGAAAAGACAAATGGACATCTCAGGAGCCATTTCGACATACATAATTGCGCTTAGGCATGATAAGAAGTCGAATGATACGTTCATTTCCGTTGCAGATAAAATACCTGTTCACAGAATATAATCAGCGTCACAAACCAAATCTTATCGACTCAAATAGCCGTTTACTCCAATGACACTGAGGACAACATCCAACAATGCAAACGCGCTCATAAATCTCAGAGTAAAAAAATAGATTTGAGACAGTTTTCTAGATCTCACGTAAAGACGGTAGAATGCCACCAAAACTATTTAGAGAATTAAGAAGAAACATACAAATGCACTGTACTACGACATTAAACATTGTAGTGCCATATAGTACACTTAGAAACAAGGCCAATCAAAGATCGAAATTCAAATGCATCAAAAGCGGGGAAGGGAACTGACCCTCCCATCTCTGTCGCCTCCTCCTTTGCAGCAACCAACTGCTTTTGATTAAGTCCCCGAAGATGACAAACACTAGACTGCATTATACAACGTCATACGTCCCCATAAATAGTTTCAGCGATTTTTAGGTAACTTAATTGAACACAAAGACGGGTAAGACACGAAGCAAAATCGCAAATCAAACTCAAACATGGGGCACCTACTGGTTTCATAACATAGAAAATCGAAAAAAAAAAAAAAAAGACCTACTGAATCAAATGCTTTCACTAATTTCCATTTGTCAGACTTACTGGCAAACATAGAGATAAATCACTAAATCTACTCGATCAACCCTACACTCGAAAAGTATTCTGATGCTTCCATAGGCTTGGGGTAATTTGTTTTCAGACCTATCAAACATAGTTAATTTAAATTGTACCTTGACCATTACAGGCATCTTGCCATAAGAAATATTGTGTCGCACAACTACTCCATTGTTCCATTGCATGCATATATCTGCTGTGAATATACCTCTGTACGTCAATCCAGCAAGTCGACACTGCAGATACAAAACAGGAACGAATCAAAAACAAAAAAAAAAAAAAAAAAAAAAAAATCGCTTGGCAAACCCCTCCCCTACAAAAACCTTCTAACAATCCTCGTTCAATGACGGCATTAGACTTATATCATTACACAAGTCATTATGCAGCAACGCATACACAGTCCACTACGGAAACGTGTTTCCTAAAGAAGGAAGGAAGGCAACTAGAGGAAAATACCACTTTCAGCAGGGAAGGATAAACGAATGCTTACTTCGGATGGTAAAAGGCGCTGATCTAATGCTTGGCTACCTAGGTCTTTCATTGGCGGGCTTACGTTAGGCTTCTCAACCCACAGTGCGAACGGTCAAGGATATCTCAAAATCATGAGTATTGAAAGACAAATTGTGTCAAATGACTGTGCATATCCAAGTTCAACTAAAACTACAAGTACGCAAGACGTAATTTACACCCCCATCACTTCAAAAGCTATGTACCGCATATGAGTTACAATCAGAAAGAAGTTCTCACACTGTAGCAAACATAGCATGTGGTTAAATTCTCTGAATATAATGAAACGCATTATAATCAAGAAGATCGTTAAAAGAACGACACGAAAGCAATTAATTGAACCAATGCTTATAGGGTACGCTTTCATCAAAAGTTCCACCACTAATCATTTCAATCCCCTAGGGCCTGACGTAGAAGCAAACGCATTACTATTGTTAAATTGAGCAACTCAACAATTAGCGTCGTCTGCACTGCTACGCTCGCGATCATGGCACAAAAATAAGGCATTCGAAGCACAAAACTCCAGTCACTCTGTTCATTGTCACAGAAGACCGAGTCTTTGCGCCACGATCTTCAACCAAAAATTGCATGCTATAAGTGCAGCAATCCCGATTTTCCAACAAAACCTCAAATAATCCAAAGACTTAGAAATGCAGTGAAAGGATATATCGCAATGATGTTCCAGAGATCGGGTGTTTCAATTCAATCGGCTGCAAACGCCGCACAGCCTCTTCCAGTCCCCGCTCAACAAAATAATCAAAAGACTCCGTGTGAGGCTTAGTCAAATCATACAAGCTGCTACAATCCAGCTCTTCCTCCTTCCTGCCACCGTAGAAACTCCCAAACTTCGGAGTTGAAGCCATGGCACTTCCTCCGATGGCTACCGAGCCTCCTGAGCTCTCAGTGCGTCCAACCATGTTCACAGTCACATCCCCCAACCTCACTCTTTCCGCAAACGAAGCACCTGTCAATCCACCACGCTGCAACGAATTGCCAGCACCAATTCCGAAGCTCGGATTCGGAGGAAGTCTTCGAAACCAGAAATTCCGCGGCCAGGGCTTGCGGAAGCTTAAACCCTAAACCCTAGTCCTGCGTTTAGTATGAACACTAGAATTATGAATCCGGACCCTCGGAGGTTACTTCGCCGTATTCACACTGGCGCATTTGCAGATATTGCCACGTAGTCGAGGAGTCTGTTCACACCTGTGGAAGAACAAGAGGAAATCAACGGAGAGGTTTCGTTCGTTCTACGTTTACCATTGATTGTTATAGTTATTTATTTATTTATTTATTTATTTAAATGTTTTTAATTCATTTCAATTAATTTATCAGTGTTCATTTAATTTATACACTATTTTTATTTTTTAAAAAAATTCACCTTGATGCTTGACAATTTAATTATGAATATAAAGAAATATGTATTCCTTTTTTTCTTTTTTATGTTTTTCTTTATCAGAAGTAACTTTCAATAATAGGAATCATGTGGTTTTGTGTTAACATGTAGATAAAACATATTCCAACTGACTTTCAGTATACAAAGTAAAGCAAGACCTGTTCACATTTAATTTATTGGAAAGTTATTGTACATTCCGAATTTGAAGGAATGCACCAAACGAATTCAGCAAAGAAATTACATAACGAAATTAACTCGACATTAATTACACACTTGGAATGTCAACAAAACCTGCATGAGCATACATGTTTATATGCATTCTATCCAAAAATTCAATTTAAGAAAAAATAAATATCTCTCTCTCTCTCTCTCTCTCTATATATATATATATGTATATATATATATGTATATATATATTGATGTAGTTTGTAATAATTTAATAATAATAATAAAATGTTAAAAAAAAACATCACATTTTTAGGGTATTACTATTGTTACCTAAATTTATGTCACCAATCTGTCACCAATCACATGACACCTTTGTTTAAAACCTTTCAAATCAATCAACTTTTATTTGCTAAATATCTAATAAAGTAATTGATTGAATAAAAATTTTGATTAAAAAAAATAGAAACCTAATAAAAACATTTTATTTTTTTTATTTTTTTATTCTTTGTTGTTGGATTGGTGACAAATTGTAGTGACAACAACAAAAATTGTGGTAACATTAGCAATACCCTATTTTGAGGTAATAACAAGCAATCACAAATAAATCCATGAATGACATGTGTTCTTTGTATATATAAGAAAGTTATGTTTAATAAAAAGAGAATATATATATATATATATATATGTATATATAACCAGAATAACATTTATGTTCTATTGTTTAATTATTACCAATTCTGTGTGTTTTTGTTTATTGTTTAATTATGACCAACTATGTACATTTTCTTTTTGTAATGAATATTTATATTTTGAGAGCATTTTAGTTTCTTACAAGGTTATCCAATATGGTTTTAGAAAAAGATGGTGCATATTACAAATATTTTTAATTATTAAGTTAGTTAGTTTTATTTATAAATTGAAAATTGCACCAAAAAAATGCACTCTCATGCAAGACATATTTCGACTTTTGAAATCAAGGTAATTACACAATTGGAATTGAATGGCTAAAAATCTTGCACAACGATATTTTGATGCCCTATAAAAATTGCTCGAAAAGTTTCGGATTAACAAAACCTCACTCTAGCATTTTAAATTGCTGATCGTGTTTTTAAATTTAATAAAATTTAAAATTAATTCAGGAGATTATTCTAATTGAAGAAAAACAGCACAACACTCATTTTTAAAAAAAGATTTAATTATAATTACAATTAGTAACACTTTTATGTACTTAAAAGACTTAAACTTAAACAACCTTGGTGTTACACCTGTATTGGTGAATAAAAAAGAAAAAAAAAAAAAAAAACGTAAATTGAAAATGCATACCATAATTTTTTTTAAATAAAGAAAGTTGTCACAGGTAATTTTCGAATTTCAATGTCCATCAGAAAAAGATGATTGGAAAAGTAACTTTAAAAGCGAAGCGATGGAAAGGGATAGAGATCGACAACAAATACGTTTTCATCTACACACATTCATCCAATACAATGCGTGGAGATGAGAGAGGGAATAAAGTATGCGTAAGCCGTCGTCTTGCACAGGGGAATGTGGCGGGGGCCTGTCACAGTGGGGAGCACCTATTATCGTCATACGGCGTCGTTGTTCTGAAGGACCCTTCCTCATCTGCTGCTGCCAGATCGTGGCATCGGGCTCTCTTTCGTCAGCATTGTTGCTTTTCATTCCCTTGAGCTCGTCGGAGCTGGAACGTGGGAGGTGATTTTCTATGCAAGCGGAGCGGATGTGTAGAGTGGATTAGCTTCGTCGCTGCTGATTATTCGTGTGACTCACACACTAGTGTGTGTTTGGTTTTCTATGCTGCCGAGAGCTGAACCAGTGGAACAGAGTTGAGTCCAAGTTACACGAAGATTTTGTGAGTTAGTTTGTTTGTCTCCAAGGCGGAAGGAAGGACCTAGCGGATTTGCTTGTTGTCACTGGGTTCGTAATCAGGCAATTTTGCCTTCTATCCCGAAAACCGCCACTAATTTTGACTTATCTTTCCTCCTCTTTGTTGATTCGACAGCATTGTAAGGCAGGGCTGTAGACCGTATTGTTTCATTCTTATCTTCCGAATTTCAGAGCGGTTCTGATTTTCGTTGCCAATTTCTTGTGTACTTTCAGTCGAAGCTGGATTGTTGCGTTGAATAGTATGCGGGCAAGAGACTGTAGCCCGGTTTAGGTGAATGCCCTAACCCGTTTGCGCCTGGTTTTCTCTTTAGCTTGCACTTTTCAATGTAGTATGTAGGTTCTTCTTTGAACTGTCGGAATTGTCCTGATTGATATCTGTAGATTGTCTTCTTTTGAGTTTCTTCGTTTGACCTAAATGTGTAGAAGAGTTTCACTTTAGCTGAGATCGCTTGAGTCTGCCTTGATTGGTGGCCACGAACGTTATGAACCCCTTACAATTGGGCGTTTTTTGTACGCTGTTGTCATAGGGTTTAATTGATCTGACTTTAATTTGCTAAGTTTCATACATACAAACTTTTCTGTAGAACATCGTATTACGAGGAGTATGTAAGTTAGTTGAGTGCAATTCATGCATACCCTCGAGAACATTGTTGTTTGTTTAAGTGTTTCTGATGAATGGTGGTTACGAAATTTCTTTTCAAGGTTGCAATTTCTGTTTAAAATTCTTTGCAAGTAAAGTCGTGTTTAGATTAATTGTTTCGTAATAGTTGGGTTATGTGTAGGGAGCAACGACGTATATAGCATTATCATTTTTGGTCCAGTCTCTTATCTTACCAGTTTATTGTCCTAATCTACATGGTAATCAGATGGAAAGTAGCTACTCTAATTTACAATGCGAGGACGATTTGATGATAGGGTTAGACCAATGCATGGAATATGTTGAGTAGATGAATCGTATAAGATAAGCACCGGGCTTATATAGGCCATACTTTGGCGGGTGACGGTATCCGAGGGTCGTAACCGATTAAGAGGTTGGCTGAATGTAGATAATGTAATTGACATTAATTGATCTATTGGTCATCAACAAAGCATGTGAGGGACCCAGATTGCTGTTGTTTGGGCTAAATTAGTTGTCTCATTTAGGTTTTGCTCATTTCTCTGCTGCAATTATTTGTTTAGGGGATTAGAGATGTGAGGAAGTATTGCAGAGAAGGGTATTAGTGCGACGCTGCGAGTTTTTAAAATTTGGCGGTTGTTCAGAATTGCTTCCGCTATCAACTGCCTCGACCTGTTGTGCTATCTATTTCGCTTTGTTTGTTCGTTGATATTCTGAGAATGTTTTGCGGCAGCTACGTTTTTATTTCCAGTTGCCCCGAACCGAATGTAGGCGGATATACAATCCTTTTTTTTTTTTTTTTTTTTTTTTTTTTTTTTCATCTCTTCTCGGCATTGATGATTCTGCTATTTAAAGTGAAGCTGCAAATTTTCAACTGATTTAAGATTCACTGCGTTGTGTTATCAAAGTTGAATTCCGACTTGGTTTCAGAACTATATCAGCAAGGAAAATCGTTTAGTTTGGACCATTTTCCGACTAACTTAGCAGAATAGACCTAAATATGTTACATTCAAACCGAAAGTGGCATTAACTATTTCCTCGCAGCTCGCAACTCTTCAGCCTAAGCCCCCCAAACCGCCTATCTTAATAAAATCCAAAAGACTTGTAGTGGGTCAGAATTTTGAACTTTCACATTGCTCATGAATATTCATAAAACAAGCAAGTAACTACCCGTTTTTTCGTGAAGTGTTTCAAGAGATAAGGCTCATTTTTAACAGTTCTCTGCAATAATGTTTGAAGTTGAGCTAATTTTCATTTGCTTTATTTCGTTCTTATGAATTTTATTTTGGTCAATTTCAAATTAGTTATTGATTTAAAGGTCTAGTATTGACGAACACATCAGGCGTTTAACCAATTGAAAATTCTCAACAGATGGACTCAAGGTTTAGCTTAGGATTGGGGTTGTGACGATGAGTGATCTTGAGAATTGGATGAAATTCATGTACATTGTTTGACAAGAAGTAGCTACCACCTCACCCATATGTTATGTCACTCCTATAATTAAATTGGAAGGGAGCTTCCAGCTTAAATATGATTCAATTAGATTTAAACAGATTCTCTGGTTTACACCTATCAGTTTCTTGAGTATCTCTCGCAAGGGTGCGTTGCCCCATCTCGGTCTACGTTTGATGTATAAGTAATGGGGTTTATCGTTTTGGACAAAGTAATCAGAACAGGTTTGTGGATCTATGTGGCCTTTCTTTTTCTCTCATCTTCGTGATGTAGAAATAGATAGGTGAGATATAGTATCATGTCTTAAGGGAGATGGTTTGCATGTCATCTTTCCATTTAAGAGGTATAGAGTAGCTTGAGTGTGTAGAATCAGGCGCAGAGGGCATGTAATGGTTTCTGCACGCTACTATGATACGTTACGTAGCACTAATTATTAAGAATTTGAAAAAACTGGCCTCGGATAAATTTTGTCCCGGAATGTCATGTTTTAAACGTGTGGTGTTGACTAAAAGCTTTGTGCAGCTGTTTTAACGTTGATATTAATATACTGTGTTGAATTTCCTGAGTGCAGGATTACGAGCAGTAACTTTGATCGAGGCTACAACTGATTTGAAGCCTCCCGAGGGAGCACTTAACAGGCTTTTGTTGTTCAGTAACACATTAGGACTAATCGATTGCTTGCTACAAATCAGTAGCTAGAAGGAAATAGAAATTTGTCTGTTGCCGGTTCTGTAGCATGAGCATCGGCTTTGATGGGTTCAATCAGTAGTCTCTCAGTATCAAGTTACATCTCGCCTACTCTGCATGTCAAGGCGCTCGAATGTCGTAGTGAGGCTCAAATTGAAGGTTTCATTAGAGCCTTTCAGTATCCGTGCAAAGTTCTTGAGTGCCAACACACACAAAGACTATTTGCTGCAGGGATTGATGTAAAGACGTTAACCAGCTCCAGGAAGAGCAGCAGCCGGATTGCTGTTGTTGGCCAACGAGGCTCTGATGCTAGTCAGGAGCCGGGCAACAATGAGTCACAGGCGAAACTGCAGGAGAATGGGAATCCCAGCAGCGATGAAGCTTCCACGATTGAACCCTCAAGAGCTTTGGCAGGGCAAGAAACTCCATCAATAGAATCGTCCGACTGGAGAGGACAGTCTGAGCTAGAACACGAAGGATTGGTGATATCGAGTGGAGACAGTGATGCATGGGATAATGGCCGAGTTGGATCGCCTATTGTCAGACGATATGTGAGTGACAATGAAGAACGGTGGTGCATGTGGTACTCTGGGGAAAACGTTGATGAATCATTGGGTACTAGAGTGGGCATTGCAATTTCCTCGAATGGGATGCACTGGAGAAGGGGCAAATCCAAGGTCGACACGGAAGGGCAAGGCGAGGACGGTGCTGTAGGTCTAGTTCTCGATCGAAGTGAAAATTGGTGGGCGTTCGATACGCAGCACTTGTATCCCTCTGATGTTCTCATTATGTCCAGTGCCAAAGTTAGAGCTGCTAGCGGTGTGTACTGGCTCTATTACTCTGGTGCTGATGCAGAGGAGATGTCTTTACCATCGAGTGCCATCTCCGCCACTCCTCCGTCACATGAAAGATTTTTTAGAGGCCGGATGCGTCCCGGCCTTGCAATCAGCAACGACGGCAGAAACTGGGCTCGTGTTGAAGGTGACCATCACAGTGGAGCTCTTTTTGACGTGGGTGCCGAAGGCGAGTGGGATTCTTTACTCATTGCCGCTCCACAAGTAGTCTTCCACGAGGCGGGTGACATTCGAATGTATTATCACTCCTTAGACCCCAACACAGGGAAATATAGCGTTGGTTTTGCTCGGTCAAGGGACGCGATGCGGTGGCTCAAGTTTGGGAAGATTCTTGAGGGAGGCGGGCCTGGTTCATTTGATGAGTTTGGCATTGCTGCGAGACATGTTGTGCCAAACCCTAACGGAAGTGGCTACCTCATGGTGTACGAAGGCATCGGAGCGAATGGGAGAACCAGCGTTGGGATGGCGAAATCTGCAGCTGGGTTGCTCAATTGGGAGAGATGCCAAGACGAGCCGATCTTTCGACCTGCGGATTCGGAGCAGGCATGGGATGGCGCTGGCGTTGGCTCTCCTTGTTTGGTTCACATGGATGGTGACGAATGGAGGTTGTATTACGTTGGCGTCAATGCTCGAGGTGAAACTGCCATTGGCATGGCTATGAACGTGGAGGGCTCTCTGACTGAGTTCAAGAGGTGGCATAATTCGACTCAAATCTGATTCGACGTAATCCTCTGAATCAGAAACATGATTGTTTTGTGATGAAAACAGACATCCTATAAAAGCGAATCGGATTGAGATCAAGTAGCAATCGTCTTTGTGATTTTAATTATTCATTTTATCTGATCACGATGTTATCAGGTCCTACATCTTGTAGCATTCACTGACGTTCAGTGCAGAATTCTATGTCTAGACAAGATCCTTAGTACTTTGGAGTATGCAAATTCAATTTTAATTACCATATGTCTTCTTCACTATTCTCTTCCCCCTTCCACACATGATCATTTGGTAAGCTCACACCCTGAGTTTTTCTTGGTCAGTTGATCTCTCATCGCCATCTCTAATTCACTGATTGTGCAGACTCGTCATGAAAGTGATAGCTTCAAGTTAAGTTTGATACATCAACGTATTGAAAGTGAGCCACGGTCACTAGGTTTTAATCTTTATCTTTCTCTAGATGCAATATGAGATAATCTCTACTGTAGTACTTTCACATCAATATGAAAACTCAACAAACCATTACATACTAGTTGCACAGATAGGCCAGGACCATTTCCTCAAACTAAAACATCCTTGAGGAAACCTATTCAATTTGTATGCTTCTGAACTACTTGGCCACTACGCATGTCAAACACACAGAGTGTTACTGTGATAATCCAAGAGGCTGCAGCATCCATACTGTGATCTCAGTAACCGATTCTCAAATTCTTTATGTAGTAGCTCATCACACTTGCAATCACGACGAAGAGCAATGAAAGTCCCACAGAGTCGTTCCTAAGGCATATCTGCGCCCTCGTTGGTGACGACGCTACAAGTTCGATAGTGGCCCGCCATTTAGATATCTCGGTTCCTCGGGAACTAGTAGAAGCGAACTGTTTCGTCATAGCTACAAAGCCTCCGGAACCTCATGCTCTCGCTTGCTTAGAGTCATCGCATCTTCCTACTGACCTTGAAACGTTTTCCGTTTCTACCTGCTGGCCATTGCAGACGCTCTCATTGGCGCCGAGGAGTGCCAGGAATTTATTGCGATCAATAGGTGGATTCTTTTTCGTGTTCTGGAAAAAATGCGGGGATTGATGACGATTTGAGAGGTTCTCGCGGTGTCTTGTGCTCGCCATTTTATTTCACAGAAGCTTCGAGTCTTTATGGTCCAACTGTGATCCCATGATGTGAGGACAAACTGTGATTCCGTTTCAGTGTGTAAGTTTCACCGACAGGCATTGTTCGTCGTAATGTGTGGGAAATCTATGATTGAGGTTAAGAATGGGAATGGACTTCTTAATTTATGCTTTGGAAGAATCAGGTTCTGTTTGCTTGTGCAATTGTTTCGTAGTCGTTGTGTATCTTCTATAGTTCAACTGCTAGTTTTAAAGCACGGAATTCTAGTGATTTGGTCAAGCTACGAGTTCACCCTATGTACAAGCGCGGGAAACTTTATTTTATGAGCGTGATTGTGGTTAATCCTCTTATCTCAATATATTGAACTTGGAATGTCACCATATCCTGAAAGTAGTAAGATAGCTATTGATTTTCAATATTATGCTTTGGTTACTGCTTAAACATGAAGGTGTAAATCATGATTAGAAAGTCGGTATTTACCGTTGTTACGCATGTGGTATCATCTGTAGGGAGCTGGTTTTTTTCAATATTGCAGGACCGACCTTTTTCTCAATGTTTCTCGTGGATGAGATTCCTGTAAATTGTAAATAAATGTACTACATTGTGGACCTAGACAAACGTGTTCGCTTTGTATCTGCTTACAAGAAGTGCCACCATTTTTGAGTATCTTAGAGTAGAATATGAGGTTGCGATGCAATTTTTGTCTAGCTTCATGTGTGTTACGTTTTAGAATGTTTTCTATTGAAATCAATCGGCTTATGGCATCTGTAGAAGGCACTAAGTCGAAAAAGTATGGTGTTCAGCAGGTTGATGTTTTGCGGTCTCGCGTGATTGCTTCAATGCCCTCCAATCAAAAGTTACGAACTCGGCCCGATTTGAAGCGACCCGAGCTGGAGATAGATGAAATGGAGCTCTCCTCATCTGATGATGATGTACTGCTCTCATCTCTACCTGTTGGTGCTCTACTATAATATCCTCTCCTCGATATGAATCTGATTGTCGATATGCCTGCTCTCATCGCTTCCTACATATTATCAAATTAACATGTTTGTGTTCCATCTTTTCTTTCCTATCTTTTCATTTATACTAGAGTAAGACATTCTTAATTTTAGCCCAGACAATCCATCGCGATTATTATACCGTGCGTCTTGTCTCTGAGTCTACTTGAGGAATGTTTTGCTGGATATTTGTGGACTATGAACGTCATTTTTCATCAGCAAATCTTTCTTCTGTCTGCATTGAGACAATGCCCTAGTCCATGCTGCTTCATGATGATATTCAGGTGATGGTCATTTTCTGTTACAGTACGATCTTTGTTTGGTTGTGAATGTCTGCAATAGTTGTAATGGTAACAGACGTCTGCGCGTGGTATTCCTCTGAATAATTCAATAGTGGGAGGATAAGCTGACGTTGTTTCGCAGGGAGAGGCAAAGACGACAGGATTTACTAGTTCTTCCAACTTGATAGCAATGTCATCCGTAAGAAAAGCCTCCTATGCGAATAAATTACAACATCTCAATGGGTTGAGCACTTCATACCCGCCCGGAGACTTTTTGAAATTACCTCTTGAAGGTATGAGTAGTTATTTCTAAATCTGGCGTATTACATAAGGATGTTCTTTCTTTCCTCTCTCACACTCTTTAACACAGACAGACACGAAGAGATGAATTGGTTGCAATCTTTTAAATATCATGGCTGTTAAAGACTCCGCCGGTAGACGTATAAGTAATTTAGGAGCTCATGATATTGCTTCATTCTTTTCTAATCATCATATCGAAATAAAACGAAACAAAACAGAAAAAGTACCTGTCTGATGCTAATGAGGTGAGGTATGTGGTTGGGTGTGGTGAGTTTAGAAAACTCAGGCGTAACTTCTCACACGCAAGGGCAGGTATTCTATCATCTGTTCTCGAGCAAAGTCTTCTTCTACGTAATGAACAGTAGTATCTCCCTTCACCGAAATTGTCTTATTGCCTTAGTTCAATGAATATATGTTTGCAGTGTCCCCAACCAGATGCGTATAAAGCAAGCCGAGAGGATGCAGCGGAGATTTTCGAAGGGGAATCTTTCGTGTCACAGGCTCTTGCTCATGGTTCTGTGGAAAAACTATCTGCAGCAGCACCAGTTTTCAGATCATCACCCAATGGTTCTAGCGCTAAGCTACCACTCTCACATGCAAAGGAAGGTGCGAGACCTGTAGATGTATCGATCGATTCGAACAGAATCACCGGAATGTCCTTTATTTCCTCACGGAAGTCGTTTTCGCCTCCCTTTGCTTCCTCGGGCAGGCCTTTTTCACCCTTATTAGGTACGAGGCTTTATTGCTCAGTGAATTATTTTCCGTGTGGTGAATATAACTATTTCAAACCAGTGTTCTGCAGAAAGGAATTTTACATCTCCTTCAGCTTTGCATGACTTGCTCGTCTAGAATTTTCAGAAGAAAATTGACTGCTGAGTCTAATATTTTTCAGGTTCACGGTTACAACCAATCCCTTTATCTGAGGATTGTATGCAAACGAATGATTTTCAGGCAGCTCTCTATCTTTCTAGGACTGCTGATCACAACGAAAAGCTCATAATAAATATTGACGATAGCGACAGTGAAGAGGAGCGACCGATAGCGAAGCCCGTGCAAATACTATCCAGAGGTGGTGTTGACCAAGTGAAAGCTGCTGGCGGGAGGCCTACCTCTGGCACCCATACCCTTGCATGTGCGGATTCAGATGTCAAGCGCAGAGTGAAACAAACAAACGGTGTGAGATTTACTAATACTACTTTGAACACCAAAACAGGACCCATAATGCGACCTGCATTGATTTCAAAGCTTCCTCCACCTCGAACAGAAACAAAAATAGAGACCTTGCGTCAATTGGATGCAGCTAAGGAGAACAAGTTCCTACAACGTAACCGCGTCAGCCGGTTGTCAGAACCCCGAAGTAAAGCTTCTCCTGGAGTTTTGGAACAAGGTTCAAATGAGGGAACACAAAGAATTTCTAAAGCATCGGGTATCAACGTAGCTGTGAACAGATCAAGTAGGACTTTGAAGAGAAAACTCAGGCCAGCAAATGCAGCATTTATTGACCTTGTATTTGGCAGCTTTCAATCAATTGATGCAGAGCTGACAGAGTGTGGTGCAAGAAATGTATGTGACGCAGATTTGACTCCAAAATCATCTGATTTTCAGAGCTCAACTGGAATACCAGATGAGATTGCTATGAATCAACAGGCAGATTACTCTGTTAAGACGGAAAAAAATTCTGAGACATGCAGTTTTGGGATCAGTAAAGAAAGTAAAAATATTGTTTCATGCGGAGATTTTTCATTCAGTAAAGCATCCACGGCTGCAGAATCCTCACGAACTACAGTATGTGGTGGCACAGTGGCTGCCCCGTCTGTGGAGCCTCCGCTATTTGGGATTAAGGTGGTGGAGTTTGGTACCAAGAACACTTCAGGTATTCAGGAGATAGAATCTGGTGTCACTGAATCCAGAAACGTAGAGAAAATTCAAATTTCGTTTCAAAATTTAACTGCAGAAAAAGTTGTTTATAACAATTTTGCCAATGTTCCGACAGTGGGCACTCCTACACTACCTGGTAGAAGTTGTGCCGCAATTTCTTCAGGAATCTTAAGTGAGTTGCATCTGGAGTCAACACAGCTGCGTCAGACAAGAAGTTCGAGTTTGAAAAGACGTGTACCTACATGTGACGAGTCCACAGAACAGAAAAAGGAACACTCATGGGATCAGAGCTCCGACACTCTGTTATCGATTCTTGCGCGGCCGGGTCCAGATTCCCTCTCCAGAGTGGCAAATCATATTGTTGCTGATGACGATAAAATGCTGTTGAAGAGGCGAAGAATTGATGAGCACGTGCGACGTGCTCGTGACACTGAACATGCAGCTGCCAATTCGCTCTCCTTCTCGTTCCTGTCGAAACAAAGGTCGAGGCCACAGTCATGTTCACCAGGTCCTCCATCAACAGGCCACGTAAAACATAGGAGAGATGAAAGCAGAAGCTTTTGCCAAACGAATGCCCCTGTCTCAGTATCATATATACATGTGCATGGTCAGCATTACCAGCATGCACAGAAGCACTGTGCCCAAGACGGAGTTGTTTCATCAGGAATTCTCAAAGTAAGAAGCAGTATTGATGTCTAACTATCTACTTCTGCTCATTTTAGCAACTCACAAGTGCAAGGTGCACTTTTGATTTTGAACAGTTTAAAGGTGTCTTCGAGCACTGAACTGGAAGTGATGCCTAGGGTACATGGAGATATTTTCCGGCAGCTTCCTGCACTCGTCGCACAGTTATTTATTTATTTATTTATTTATTATTTAACTTTAAATTTTGGGATCTTTTTAACTACTACTGGTTTTGCTGATGTTCAGGTTATGTTTAATGGGGGAAAGAATATATTGCCACCTTCATTTGCTACAAGCCTTGTAGTACAGATCGTAGTACCTGACGAACCATCTTTGCAGAGCAATCAGGCGTTAGCTCCTTCTTCCGAAGACCCAGGAGATTGTGATCCTTGGTCTTGTTGGCATCAGCATGGATCTGGCAAAAGTCATTTGAATCATTTGAGGATACAGAGTAGTGTTACAGGAGGAAGTGCGAGTAATTTTTTGGATAAATTACGAGAGGAAGCGAACCGTGTGGACAAGGATCTAGAAGAGGCAAAGGCCAATAGAGGAGATTGTGTAACCCAGGAGCGAGAATTGTGCAAAGCTTATCATGACGCCCAAACTGCACTTCGTGCAGCTACTGCCCGCTGTGAAACACTTTTTCAAAGTCGAAAATTTCTTAGAGTCCTGGTTCAAATCGCAGAACTAATACTTTTTCAACAAGCTTCTTACTCAATGTATGACAACCGATTAGTTCCTCATGACAAGGGTACAGTTCCAAGAATTTTGGAGCTTTCTTCTCTATCGTACACGACGATGGTGAGGAATAGCTCGACACCATTAACAGGACAGAAGTTAGATTGTCATGTAGGCATTTCCGGTAATGTTACATCTGCAGCTCAAGGGACTTGGATTCGATCTTCTGCTCAAGTTAATAAGAAGACGTTTGAGAGGTCCTCAAGCAAAGCGGACACAGAAATTTTGGAGGGTAAACTTGACAAAGCAATTTATCATGTTATCCAGTTGTCAGGTAGGCATATTCACAGCACACAGGGAGTTAGTGGTAATAAAATTCTCTTTTCGAGTACAGCGAAGCACTTGGTTGCGCTTGTGGTGCAGACGGCGAAGTTTCTGCATCTACTAACCGTGGGTGTGCTGTATTTTCGATAGAACAAGAAGGTCAAGGGTTTACTAGAACTATAAAAAGGACAAAATTGGAGAGTAGGGGCGATGAGAGATTATATATACGATGTGTGTCTTCGTTTATCTAGTTCTGAAAATCCAGCAAAAGCATATCATGGTGTGCTTGCGGAAGAGGATCCTCTGGCCGGTGTCGACTTGTCCACCTGGATTCATGAACGTGGTTCAGGACGACAAACCAGTAGCCCTGAATCATTAGTAGTTTCCATCAACTGAACTATGTGTTGGCTCTGTTAGTTCAGTAATTGGAAGTGTTTTCGCTCATTTTTTGGGCTAAAACCGAAGAGCCATGGATATAAAATCCGACTCCTCTTTTGTAGTCACTTAATACAGAACTCTGACTATGTTTTGCTAAAACATGATGTGCTCAGGGTTCCAGGATGCTTGGCACAATTGTGTGAAATCTCAGACTTGGAGCCGTATGTTGTATCCTCGTAAACCGTTTTGCTTGTTTGAACATTGGAGAAAACGCATCGATGTAGCCCACAGCACATTGGACCAAGCCCTTTTCTTTGCACAGCTCAGGACGTACTCGAATTTTGCTCCGGAGGTTGAAGAGCAGAAGCTGTCTTCAGAAGAATTCAGCATTTCACTTGAAGAAAACGGCAGCGGGGCATCGAAAAATGTTGGGACAATTATTGGCAATAAGTCATTAGTTCCTAGAACTTTCCCTTGGAACAGAAGACCACCAGCACCTTCGCATAAGATTAGAGCATATACCACCAATCATGAAGAGGGCTTAACTTCCAGAGTTTGGTGTTGTCTTGGTCGCCAATACAAATTTAATCCTTTCAAATCTTCTGATCTTGTATCTGCCACACGGAGGCTATTACACTCAGATATGCCATATTTGCATGCAATATTTTCCAACTTCGGCAGTCAAATGACTCTTGTGGATGCAAGTGGTTGGTGCGATTCTAGAGATAAACTAAGAGCTACCTTTGAGGTACGTGAAATTATACTTTTGTGCCTGTTATTAGATGAACTGGTAGAAGCTCGGGAAAAGGAACCAACCACTTAAGGTTAATTATTCCTTGTCGGGAGTTTACTGCTCCTTACATGGATTGGTTAGCAAGTGCTTGATAAAAGGAAATTTGGCTTCTGAACGAAGGTGGCTGACATCTGTGTGAATCAGGAACATGTCGACAGAAAGCTAGGAAACACCAAAGGATGGTTGGGGTTTCCTCTAACACCCATTCACTTCGATCTGAATCGCACATGTACTGACGTGTGTAACGAAGTAAGTCGAATGAAATTTAAGGCTTTTTGTATACTTGGATTTGTGAGATGCATGTTTGTCACTTTGTATCGAGACTATGATAGCAATGTTGTAGCGTAAGCGTTATGAGTGACATGCATGTTAAAGAGTTACACCACAATTACTGTATTTCGACACTGACTGTCTTCAACATCAGACTAGGTTCCAAAATTGTCTTAGTCTTAGTACGTCATGCCGCTTTTCCAGTACTTACAATTTTGTAATTTTAATAATCCATCGTCTGCGCAGATTGAGAACAGTAGAGGTTCTTGTGAGTTCCTGCTTCTATACATCAACAACAAGCAGATACTACTGGAGTGCTTGAATGCTTGTGGCGTATCAGTTCAGGCTCTCGTTAATGATGGGGAAGAGAGCCAATAGCAGAACACTTGTGTTAAAAGTTGTTCAGGTGCTGGACTGTATATGTGTTGCAAAGGTTTATTAATAATTCATCTGAAGCTGCCTTACGATTACGTTGGGAAATTTTGGAGCTGCACCCTAACTGCATTGAGCTTGTCCTTTTTCGTGGTATGTTTGGAGAAGGGGCAAAGATGGATAAATGTGCTTAAGCATGCGTTGAAGAATTCCTCAGAAAATGAGCCCCACCAACAGATTTAGTGGTATATACTGAGGGCAGTATTGTAGCATTGAATATCCTCTGTCTGTGCGCAACTGCTGCCAGCCAAAGCCCCTCACCAATGGAAAGGATTTAGTTACTTTTAACCAGATGAGTGCTCCTAGGAAAGGTTTGCAGCCGAGCCTCAGGAGGATTGAAAGAGCTGATGGCAGCTGTATTTTGATTGGTGAGAAGGTGGTGTTTGACGAATTGAAAAGAAAGTTTCCATCAAACTGGCCACGAAGGGATGCAGAAAATGGGCAATTGGATACAAGCTGCAAGCAAAATTTCATCTTGCAGTTGGTTAAGCGTAAAGTTCCTCGACATGTTCATGTTTCAAATACAGTTTACCATTCAACAGGGGTATTTAGGGCGGGGGGGAAGGGTAGAGGTTTTGAATCCGAATGTTAAAGAAAAGAGAAAAATATCGTCATATTTCAAATCTCTAAAAGATGATTTTTTTGTCATGGGGTGTGAAAATTCATCATTTTCAAAGTGATTGTTGGCAGTATTAGTCCTCGAAATTTTTTTGATAAAAATGCATACACAACATAAATTGCAAAGAACCATGGAGATGCAATATCTCTATTTTATTTTATTTATGTTTTCTGTTATGTATCAAAAAAATTGCAATGACTGTTGCAATAGGATGCATTTTATTATTACTATTATTATTTTTTATTTGAGCAATAATAAAATGTGAATGTAATAAAGAAAATTAATTTATAGTAGTTGTCTACAACATAATTAGCATTAAGTTGTTAGGTAGATGTCTTTACTTTGTTTGGTGCATAGGTAAAAATAATATATTTTACATTTAATTCTTTTTTTATAATTATAAAATTCCAATTGCAAAAGTATGACACCCTTCTATTTTGTATTAAATTAATTGAAATGGAATTTATTGAGTATATTTTAAATTCAATTTTATTGGCTATAAAAGAAAAAGATCTAACATCAAAAACATTTGATGTATTACTAGGAAAATTGTGAAAAGAATATGTGAAGAAAATAATAATAATAATAATAATAATAATTCGTGCACCAACCATTAAGATGCAAATCTTGTCCTAAATAAATTATTTAATGTATGTATGTGTAATATAATTTTAACAACCAATATTTGATTTTAAATGGAATAATTTTGTATATATTGGTCAATTTCTTTAAAAATGGCAACATTATATATAGTAATTTCTTTTCAATTTGCATAATTCTTAAACATCAAACCGAGAACTTAGTTTTGTTGTTACATGCAATAACTACCTTTTAGAATCATATTTAAAAAACTGTACAACTGTATGTCATAACTTTATAATATTTTAGCACCTATTGTTATGTCTCAAACTAAATAATTAAAAGTAAAACATATACAACTTAATATGATAAAATTAAAATATTTTACAACATTATAACATATGGAAGTATTAAAAAAATTGTCTTCTTATTTAAGAGGATATAGATTGATCCAAGAAAATAATCTAACTATATATACAAGATCAACACTAAGAAGACTAACAACTAGATTTGTTTTGTCTAAAATATATGTTTTTTTAAAGATTTAGTAATGAAGACATTTAAAATTTAGATCAAGAATTTTAGAGGTTATTTGATTTTATAAAATTTTAATTTTAAATATGTGATAAAATAAGTATTAAAAATAAAAAATAAAAAATATTTTGACTAAGTTTTTCTTTTTTCTTTTTTTTTCAACTTTGCATTAGTGATGCAAATTTACAACATTCTATTCTCTTTCCTCTCAGACAGAAAATAAAATAAAATATGTAACGTTACTGAAAGAGACATAAAAGAAGTAGTTAAAATATATTCTTTTTTGAATATTCAAGAGGTTTAAAAGCAGATAAGTTCAGTTTTCGCGATCAGAGTTCAGCACAATATTGGGTTAATAAAAATCATGCAAGAAGGAGGGGAAAAAAAGCTCGAACATTTTATCCAGCACAACAAGTGCCGATGACCATGCTATTGTAATGTAACGTTTGTCTGGTTGAAACTTGCAAAGTCCAACAACACTCACATCATGGCGCGATGAGATTGTGGCAAAAAAACATACCCATTGGATGGATGCGCAAGAGCAGTACAACATTGTTGATGCAGAATGCTACAATCCAGCTGAAACTAGGTCATGGAGAGTGATGAGTCCGATGACGACTTTGTTGTAGTCGAGAACTGGTAGAAAAGTCACCGCCGACGCACCCTCTTCCATCTTCTTCATGGCTGCAATTGCCATGACATTCTCCTCAATCCACCTCGGCTCCCTGCAGGATCACCACAACAACAACAACATCAACAACAACAGCAGCTCCGGATAGATTACTACTAGACTTTTCTCAGCTGCTGATTGAGCTAGAAGATGAGATCAGAGTTTCAGGGTTCAGTGGTTCACCTGTTGCACATTTCACCCACTTGGAGGTGGAAGATGTTTTCTCGGCTGGAGTTAAGTGCTCGACGAAGATCGCCGTCTGTGAATGTGCCCAGGAGTCGGTTGGATGCGTCGATGACGATGAGGCAGCCGTATCCTTTGACTGTCAGCTCCACGAGTTGATCCATGATCAGATCACTCTCTCTGCATAATGGTAACGAGTCGCCTTTTCGCATTATGTCCTCGACCTAGGTCACCAAGACACTCACCGAGACACCGTCTCAAACAACTGGGTACAACTGTATTGATTCCAGATGGTGTGAGTGTTGGACCATGTTCAAAGTTTTCGATCCCATTCATAAAAGGTGGTGGAAATGTGTGTGGAGGATCAGGAGATTAGTTCAGGAGGGAAAGGAAAGCATCACCATACCCGAAAACTGAGGCGTCTGCCTATGCGGCCGGCTGGGTGGTTGAGGGCATACTGCTCGCGTGTCAAGTTCTTGGCTTTCATAAGTGCTATGGCGACAGTGTCGCAGAACAGCATCTGGATGGCAGTCGAAGTGACTGGCGCAAGATCAAAGGGGCATAGCTCTCGTTCCAGAGGGAGGTATACATGCATGTCACACATCTTCCGAAAATTGGAGTGTTTGAGCGACGAGATGCCCACAAGATAGGCACTCTTAGCTCTCGCGCAGGGAATGAGTTTGTTTAGCTCCTCGGTGGCACCTGACTTGCTGAACAAGACGAGCACATCGTTGGGACCAACAAGGCCAATATCCCCATGCAGGGCATCAGTCGGGGAGAGAAACACCGCCTTCGTGCCTGTCGAGACCAATGTCTGCGCGCACTTTTGGGCTACGAACCCGCTCTTGCCCACTCCTGAGAAGAAGATGACCCCCTTTGTGTCGGCGCACAGTTGCGTGAATGCTTGCACCTGTTTACATGGCAATGCTAATTGGTTTATTCCACATTGGTCCGGTTACTTACTCCTCGTCAGTCACCTTTGATTGATTGGCGAAACCACAAGTCGATTTATCACCTCTTTGTAGTTCAAGTTCTTGAAGAAGTGATCGAGAAGCTGCTGTTGATCCTGAAACAACTGCTTCAGCTGACGTATGTCAAATCCGTGCTTCTCGCAATGCTGAGCATCAATGTTCTCGGAGGAGTACAAGTCGTAAGCATCGCCATTGGATTCCATGCCCCGGGAATCTACTGTCGACAACGGGATATCTGTTCAACTTCCTGTGCAGAGCCTCCAAATTCGGCTGAGGTTTTCAGAGTTAGCTCCCACTTGTCCTGTAACCAGATCTGGAACTTCTTGGCGAGCTACTAAGTAGTTCCATCACTACAAAAATGTGGTCACATTCATCCTAGCTTGCTCTCGAACTCCACAGCCCAATTTTCACACCACAGGTTGCAGCAGAATGCAATTTAGGACATATTCCGGAATCACCATTCATGTGGCAATTCAACGTAGCTATCCGGCCATTATCTCCAAGATTTCATTCCACGTCACAAAGATCCTTCCTCTCGTCAAATTGTTGAGCATAGGCGAGGAGGTGGAGGGACACAGAAAATGAGCTCATGCACATTGATATTCTGAAAGATCACACAGCAAACAACCCTTGGATTGTAACGCAGCGCATGTGGAAGCATTTTAGAGTTTAGGTCTCTATTCACGAACTACAGTACCATGCCAAGAGCCGTGCATCTTGTGACACTTTTGAAAGATCCCATTCCAAGATGACTTCAGAAAGCTGCAAAATAATCATCTCCATTCACGGCAAGTATAGAATGTTGACAGGCAAAGTTGAGCCTTCCTGCTACTTCTTCCAATGTAGCAATTACGAAATGAATAATCAGAAGACTTCTGGGTCATGCAGATCATGAAATGACTCTTCTACATGTGAGGCATGTGCTGCCAATTGTGCAAAATTAGGACTAAATCAGTTGTTAATGCTTCGTAAGAAGTTGCACAACCTCTTGTGACAGGCATCCAGCTATTTGAGAGCGAAGTGCAAGCTAAGTGGACGCAGTGCGCTACATTTCTTTCTGTGGATTCCAACCCCTAATTGCGTAAAGTAGTTCTTCCATGCCATACAGTTATGGCAGACTTCTGGCGAGGCACATTCTCGTAAGCACAGATATATATATACATATACACACGTATAGAGACGCACTGTCTTGGTGCTAGTCATTTCGATGACGAAATATACGTCAAGATATTACCTAGCCCTATGAACCGTTCAAAACGCCCCCCCAGGAGGAGGAGCTTCAAAAATTCCTGAAGGATTGTTCTTGGCTCTACGTTTCTTGATGAACATAATGATGAGCGCCATGATGCCGCCGACGAGAAGCAACCCGAAAATGATCGCAAGTGCAATAGCGCCTACTGTGGAAGCCACTGGTTTTCCTTTTGAGTAGGGTTGGTCCGCTGCACAAACACGAGACGGAATTGTCAGATGACACATAACACCAAAGCGACGTAACAATGGCCTTAAGAGGATTTCATGTTGTAAGTCTATCTCTAGATGCAGATCATATGCAGAATATTGTAACTATTCTTCACGAAACCTTAGATGAATGTGTACAGTAAGTTTGTATTGCAAGAAACCAAGTTACGTTTAGCAAAATAGTTTCACCGCTCGACCAGGGTTAAGGAGTAGACACAATGGCAGAACGAATCGAAGAAAAAAAAAAAAAAAAGAAAAAAAAAAAAAGAAAAAAAAAAATCTAACCCACATGTGAATGGCAAAAGAATGTTGGGCTGTGGAAGTACATTGTGTTAAGAATCTTCGTTTGCTGTGTACTACGTTGTTCCCAACAAAGCCTACGTTAATATGAATCTGAAAGTTGAAGCCAGCGATCAGCGAGCTCCTGACAGAAACTTTTAGTACACATTCTGATTCACCGCCAGCCATTTAGAAGAGCTTCAAGAATTTCCACACCAAAACATACCGCTGGCACTGCTGAACTCTAAAACCACATGATCCGTTCAGGATTACCCACCTATATATAGAGAAGCAGTTCCATTCGAGCGTGAAACAAGGAACGTGGGACATTGACCGCACAGATCAGTTATCAAACCACACAACCTGGGAAGTACGAGCTGCCGCGATTCATTATGAGTTGAAGGCGGGTAGAACGTCGCCATGCAGATACAAGCGGTGCGATTGTAGGCGACATCATTAAAGCCTCGGCAGCACTCGGCACTTGGTGTGAGTTCACTGGAGTTCGTCAAGAAACCCTTACAATCTACAGTCTGTGCTTCCATCCTTGACTGATCGTTATAATTGCACCAATTGCTGGAGATCATAGAGGTATTTGCAAAACTACAGGTGATGGGCGGGCTGGGCGCCGCTGCAGTAGGACTTGCAGTTGGCCCTTGAGCTGCCACTCGAACTTCTAGGACCGCCATAACCATTAAGGAGACCAAAATTGCCATCAAACGCTGGCCAAGCACACGACCCAAAGCCCTATCTCTCTGGATCATTGTCACCGTCGGAAGAAAGCAGCACTCCCTGCTGTATTCACACCGCAACTCGGCTCCGCAAGAATTCGATTATAGCATTTATGTCGCCACTTCCTGCTACACCAAAGCTGCAACATCGACGAGAGATCAGTGTTAACACTGCACAAACCTTCCAAACTAAAGAACACTCCATAGAACAGGGTTTGATGTCAAATAATACAAAACTAAACTGGAAATTCAACTAAGAATTCGCAACGAAAGAGCTCTGACCCCAAGAACTAATGCTCCATGTACTCACCACCAAAGTCATGTATCACTGTACCAGAAAACGGCGTCACTCAACATCAGCGCTTGTCCCACATACCCAGCCCAACAACTCTCCTCCCAAACCCAACAAATTGTGCACAACCTGCTACCAACACTGCCTTGCAATACTCTCTCTCACTCTCTCTCTCCCCGTCACTCAGAAATCTCGCCTTGACGCCGTCACCTCCTCTCCAAAATTACCATCGGCACACTCCAGAACTCATCAAGAAAGGGAACCTGATTCAAAAAAAACGATTAACGCCAGCTTGATGAGGACATGATAGATTTGAACAATAAATAGACATGTTCACCTACTACACACACACACACACACAGTCCCCTACCACCAGGTAATTCTCTTCAATATTGCGAAATGGGCATTGAATGAATTCCGGTGCTCATGATGTTATAATGGAGAATTCGATTTTACACCTGGAGTAATACGAAAGTGCATCGGAAGGTAGCGGACCAGTCCGAAGCCAGCTTCGACAATAATTGTGAACAAAAAGAGGAAGAAAATGGCTACAAAATCGAGGGGTAAGGTGAGCAGACTTCACTGTGGCCTTAACTCAGCTCTGTTCCTCCCATCTGTCCTCTTCTTACAAGACTGTTGTTGCATTACAAAACTGTTGTTGGAGAGACAGAGAGTGAGTGCGTGAGTGAGTGTGGATGAGTGTGTGTGAGACCACAAAGGTTGATCCTACTCTGAGCATGCCAGGGAGCACATGATTCCAAAAGCCTCTCGGATTTTACTCAAAGCTTTAACAACTTCACATTCTCTGCAGTCAGTCTGCTAGCTCTGCCATAATCAACGGTGAAGCACCCACACGAAGAAGCGTCATACCGGAGGTTGATAGACAGGACCCCAATCCACCTCTTAACCCCTCAACCAGCCCAGCCTGGATGGGATGAATCAAGTCACAATTGAGTGATTCTGTCAGTGAAAAAATGAAACTGAATTTGGTGCCAGGGTAATCTGGAGAAAAAATGGGGTGACGTGATTGATGATGAAGACTATACTGTAGGTTTGCAGTGCTGCACGGAGAGATGGATGCTCATTGCTGCTGCTGCTGCCAGCTTCTCTTTCTTTCTTCTGCTTCTTCTTCTTCTTCTTGTTTTTTTCTTTGCTTTTTATCCGACCGGGATGTTGACGGACTTCCCAAGACAGCTTCCCAAATTCAAATTTCTCAACTCTCTTGTGCAACTCTCCTCAGCCTATTCAGGATTTGAATCATTGTCTTCCTGGTGCGTGCTAACTGGAGGCTCATTTGATAGGGAAATAAACAGATTTCAAAGGTTGGTCGTCCTGATAAATGGCTTCTGCTTGACTAATTAGTGCAGCATTTTAGCATTGGCCAACACGTGGGTTTGAGTCTTTGAGAGGTTGTGAATTTCATGTAATGAGAGTTTTTATTACTTTTTTAAAATTTTCAATAATAATAAACTTAGTATACTCCTATTATCACAATAACCACATTGACAAATTTTAAGCAACAAAGGCTACAACACATTTATATTCAATTGAAAAATCCTACCTATGGAATATTATTATTAATGATCTACTCATTAATTATTCTAAATATGTTCTTAATTTCAAGAAAGTAAACTAGAGGGTAGATAAATGATGATTTAAAAATAAATAAAGCTATAGAGTATTTTTTTTTTTTTTTTTTTTTTCTATCTAAAAAATTTCTTATTGTTGTAATATGTGTTGATGCCATCTTAATATGAATTAATGTATTTATGTGATTAATGTAGAAGTAGAGATCTAGATAAACTTAGTTGATGCTTATGTTTGTATTGTACTATAAGAAAATGTAATAATAAATATTTTTATCAAATAAAATCTAAATTTAGATCTAATTTTCTTTAAAGTAATAAAATTGGTTCTACAATTACATATAAAAGATTGGAATTAATATAAAATAAACTCTACAAATTTAAAAAATAAGATCATTCAAGATTATTTTAGTTATTTTATTAACATATTTTTAGTTTTATATTATAAATATCTAGTATTTTATTTAAATTTTAATATTTTATAAATATTAATCATGTCTTTCTTGTCATTTAATTAAAATTTTATGTTTGAAATAAAAAAATGATGTAAAATTACTTCAATTTATTCTTTTATATTACAAAAAAATTTCTAATTAATTTCTATAAAAAAATTAAATAATATTTTTATAAAAATCAATAAAATTTTTAATTTTTAGAATTTTAACATATTAAATTTATTAAATTTTATTACAATTAGTTGTTAAATTAATTATTATTTGTATTTTTATGATTTTTATAATACAAATTACAAAATTTAACTATTATATGGACTATTGGTAGATTAGAAAATTCAAGTTTAGTTTTTTCTATAACTTATCAACTATGAATTATTTTATTTTAAAATCTTTACTAGCTTATAAGTAAAACTTTTACACAATAAAATTTTACATTGACTTACAATATATAAAGTAATAATTTAAAGAAAAAAAAGATATAAGTAAACTTATGACTATTATAAGGTTAGTTACAAGGCTAAAATATTTAATATTGATACAATCATATTACTAATGTTATATGATTTAGATATATTATAATCAATGCATGTTCTAAATATATGAAATTTATACAAAGGTAGGTTTATTTATTTTCAAAAAAGTCACATTATACAACTTATAAGAATTCAATCTTAAATTAATATTGAGAAAGATATGTTGTTTTATATCGATAAAGATTTAAAATATTAACACAAGTAAAATATTAAAATATAAATACATAAATATATAAAAAAATATTATAAAAGATATTATAATTTAAAATATATATGATTGTTAATAAGACTCCTACTACAAAAAATCTTTATTTTTTTATTTTATCATTTTATTTATTTAAATATAATTTAAAATAAGTGATATTTTATTTTCTAAAATCTATAATATATATATATATATATATATATATATATATATATATATATATATATATATATAATTTTTAAAGTAAAAAAAATTATATTTCAAATTTTATATTTTATAAATAATAATACACATTGTGAAATTTAAAATTAATAATACAAAATATATCACATGTCTTTGATATCTTATGTTTTTTATAAATTTTATTTTAAAAAGAATTCATGCATTTTATATTATAAATTTATATTACAAATATATTTTTTTATTATTCATGTATAAAACATATAATAATTATAAATTTTAATCTTTATATTAGAATACATAATCTTAAGCATATAATAAAGTAAATTTTATATCTAGAATCTCTTTTTAAAAGGCTATGATTCAAATGCATTACCAAAATCTCTTTTTTAGTAAAAAAAAAGAAAAAAGAAAAAAAAATGAACATACTTTACAAACCATGGTCTTTAGATATAGTATTAAGTGAGAAAAGACAATAAATAAGACTAAACCACTTTTTTACTATAAATCTAAATATATAATCTTATATCTTTATTCTATTATTAAAAAGAGATATAAGATTTTTGATTTTTTTAATAATTTTTTAAATTACTTTTTGAAACAACTTCTTAATTTATTTTAAGAAACACCGTTTTAGATGGGCTCAATCAAAATTTTAGAAAACAACACCATTTATGTCATGTAGAAAAGAAAAGAAAAATTAGACTATTTTTTTTTCAGATTTTTGAACTTCTTTTTAAAAATAAAGCGAATTTAGTGAAACTTTTTTAATTTCAATTAATCAAAGGATTTAAAATTTTTGGCCTCTCATCTTATTTTTTAAAATATAAACACCTTTTAAATATAAAAAACGGCATAATTTTTATTACAAAAGATTAATATATTTTATACAAAAGTAATAGAAATACTAAATAAATATAGTAATAAAGATTATATATAATAAAATAATTATATAAATAAATAAAAATTAATACAAAGTATCCATTAAAAACTACAAAATTAGAGATATTGCAAGTCAAAACCTTAAATAAAATAATAAATTATCAATTAATTAAGTAGATGTTACGGTCATATATATTTATAATATTAACTATCAAGATTAGAAGATTGGATTTTATCAAAGATTAAACCTTAGACATAATTAATACTTATAATTATTTAAATAAAAGACTTAGGTAGAAGTAAATAAAAGTAGGTAAACTTGTTAATTTCTTATAAATAAGCTTTATAAAGGCAAATTTGATTTTAAACATGTTTGTAGTTGATGGATAGGTTGAAAACTTAGCCAACAAGTTGACTATAAGTCACACATGTTGGCAACTTGTAGTACAAGTTGGCCATATGGCATACATATCAAAATTTGTCTTATAAGTTAGATACATGTTTCATAAGTTGGACATACGTTGGAGGTCCTATAGAATGTCACTGCTTAGATCTTAGTTTGATAATATATATAAAGGTAAGAATGAGGCCTTCTTTACTCTTATTAATTCTTTTTTTTTTTTTTTTTTTAGTCTTATTTCAAGAATCTTTAGTCTTTTTTTTTTGGTAATAGCCATTGTAGTTTTTACATTCTACTATCTTTGAGTAATTATCTACTCACTTCAAGTGACATAAGAATATATTGATGTTTTGATTATTTATAATTTATATCCTTGACAATTTGATATGAGTATTAATTTACTATTCTTATTTTTTTTTAAAGTGAGTATATTATCATAATTATTTTTTTGTAATTTAAAAATTTCAAACTATGTAACTTTAAATTAATACTTTTTTACTTTTTAATATTATCTCTTTTTTAAAAGATACTAAATTACTACTCTTTGAAGAAAATTTTATTTAATATTAAAGGTTGGAAATTACCTTCTTCTAATTTGACTTGTAGATTTGTTAAAGTTTTGTGTTATAAGGTGAAAAGAAAAATTATGGATGCTACTCTTAGCATAAATAAGAATAGATTTGCAACTATTGTAGATCTTCACAATCTTGCTAACACTCCTAAGGTAGAAATTTTATATATTATTAATATTAGTCATAGATGTATTATTTCCACGCCTATAGAAGAAGCCAACAATGAGGTCTAATATCGATGCTAAGAAGTTGTGCAATTAAGAGAAGCAAGTAAATTAATATTATTATTTAATCAAAAAGATCTTACCACTATAAATATAAAAGAAATAAAGATTAGTGTGTTGTAGAAGTTTGATGGAATAAAATCCAAGTTTTAAGAATTTTTATAATAAATTAAGCTCTATCTAAAGTTATTCCTTTCTAATATCTTTATGGATTTATTCAAGTTTGATTCATACCTACATTCTTATCTAGAATAGTTCTTTCTTGATTTGCACATTTTAAAAAAAAAAAATTTATAATTTTGATATGATCTTTGTTCATTCTTGAAACTATTTATGGCCAAATTTGAAAAAATGATAACAAAAGGTAGCAAAGACAAAACTCATATCGTTACAACAGTGATCACACTTAACTACAAAATAAAGAACATATATTGCTGAATTTGAAAACCTTCCTTGCCATAAGGATTGGAATGATAAATCAAAAAATCAATTTTAATATGGATTAAAAAATTATATTAAAGATTTATTATTGATGATATCAAAAGTAGACACATTAAAATAATTTATTATTTAAGCTATTTCATGTGACAAACAACTTTTTGAAAGGCACCACAAATAAAGATTTTGGATGGAAAAGAATAAGACAAGTCATAAGCACATTTCTTTAGTTTTAAAAAACTTATTTATTAAGTGTAAAATCTATAAAAATTGATACTATATTTTTTAAATATCTCACAAAAAAAAAAAAAAAAAAAAAAAAAAAAAAAAAAAAACTTGACTTTATCAAAAAAAAATTATGCTTTTATTGTAGAAAATTTAAGTACATTACTTAATATTTTTTTAAAGAAAAAACACAACTACAAAATAAAGAGCATGGTTGCTAAATAAGATAATATTTTAAAAAATAATTTTATCCAACTACAATAGGAACCATACAATTGGAATTTTGTACAACATCTAGTAAAGTTTGTATTTTTTTTTTTGAAATCCATCATCTTATTCTATAATAGATGTTTGTTTATGATCAAAAAATTAAAAATTCTTTTTTTTTA